ATGTGCACTTTGCTAGCTTATTAGGTGCTTGAAGATTATCAGTGCAAGATTGAGTCAAATTTTTACCCTAGTTGTCATTTTTCAATATGGGGTATCTTTAATCTTCAAAGAGTTGATCCTATCATGGGATTTGAATCCAGGTCATTATTTTCCTAGTAAGTGACGTTAAAATTAACTTATCTGATTACTGATTCATATATAAACCTTGGGTGCCTAAAGTAATCGATCACCTCATGAGAGTACAAGTAGGTTTCACGTTTTAAGTGAGGACCAAATTTAACCTCGTGACCACCAATCTACGAAGACTTAAAGTCAAGACAGTTGGAAACTATTAGCTAGAAGCTTTGACCTGAATCTTTTTGCAACATTATATCACATGCCCTGTCATAGTTGACGAATTGCCACGTCGGCATTAACTACAGAGACTAAATTAGTATGACATAGTTAACGGCTAAGAGAATTGTTAGTACGTTTTTAATCTCTTCCAATTTTTCAAAACTCGTCATAGTAACCTTATTTATTGACAATATTAATTATATTCTAATTTAGCAGAAATTCTTCATGTCGAACAGAAGAATGGATTTATCATATGACATGTTTACTAAACTATTTGGTTTACTTGTGTAGTTGGTACAACTTTGTAAATGAACACTTGGAGATTGCAATAAAACTTGAACTTCATAAGGAATACTTTATACGGTTCTAAGAGCAGTTTCTTGTTAAGTGGAAAGTTTATGATATTAGTTGAACATTTATATTAGAATAGATTCAACTAACATAATAAGAACACCTATGAGATTTAGTAATCTATCTGTCTTACAATGACGTATTATACGTTTAACTTTCTACTCTTCTTACTAAAGAAAAGCTGATTTCCAGATGCTGACATATACTATTCCAAAGCGGTCATAACTTCGTATCTGTTCCGCATTTTTAGAGTAATTAGGTTTTACTTTCACTGCTCATTAAAACTAACCATGTATTTACAGGACTGATACTTTTAGTGCGTGTACCCTGATAACACTGCGATTGACTTAAGTGCTCTCATCTCTAACTGCATGTTTTGTTTGTATATTCTTCATATTATCACCGTCTTTGTTACCAATGTTCTAGCAAAAGAATCTATGATTCACATCCTTTATAATGATTTACGCTTATTCATATTTTTGTTTTATGTTGTCCCTCTTTCGTAGCAGCCTTATCATGTCTGCAAATTGATGTGTACTCTGTAATTATTTCAAGCATCTATATTCATTGCTATTATTATTACAGCTACCTTGATTCTTAGTATTGTTTTTGCTATTATTATTATTATTATTGTTAGCTTAACTTAATGATCCTTCTATCAAGAACTTACAATAAACAAAACTCGATGATATTTCACGTGAAGATCTAAATGCATCCTGATTAGTTTATAAATTATATAAATCTGTTTGTACCTTCAAAATAAGTATTCATCGGTTGTCATTTAGGGTTTTTCATTTATCTATCAACTGCGTACGGTTAACCTTTCTAGGTATACAGCTACTCTAAATGGTTCAGTTACGGTTATATATTATGATGTTTGTTTTCAACCACATCCAGTTTAGAACAACCAATTCCACTCATGATTATAACATCGTAGCGTCAGAATTAAGCATCAATATGAACGTTCCATTTAAAACTGAATAAAATGGTTACCATGTAACCTAAATAATTTTATGTACTCGTGTTACAGAAAACTACCTAATGGACGTCATAGTTATATACGGTGAAATACCAAGGTAGTTTGACATGGATATTAGTAGCATTAGTATGCTTAAATTTTGGATTTACAGTAAAACCAGTTACAAACCTTGAACATTACGTGTTTTTCTTGTTATCTCTTATTGGATTGTGTATGATCTACATTAAAATAATCGACTGGATCCTTTATTTATGAACTCTTTTATGTAAAGTTATTTCGTTAGATAACGTCGCTATTTACTCAACATAACCAATCATTATCCTACGAAGAATAATGTTATGTCCTTTACTAAATCGGTTTCTGATATTTTCATATGATCGTAAAATTTTTCAACTTTTGATTGAACAGTTTACTTATAATGAATCAAGTAGTTTAAAAAATATTCAAAAAACTATTTTTCATTGAAATTATAAATTCATTAGGCAAATAGAGAAAACTGGCTGCTTTGCCAAAATATGGATGAACATATGCTTCAAACACATTTAGTATAATATTAGGTGTGTAGTCATTAAATATTGTGTCATGCTCAGTAGGCCCTTGTTTGAAAATTTCAGTAAATTTTGTTATAATTTTGTAACAACACAGATTTCATAATCCATATTCATTCTGGTTTGTAAACCTCGTTATTATTTGAAATTGTAATCCATAACGAATCATTTAATTTTAGAATAGTTATTATCACTAGTTGATATAACCTAGATGAGTTTAGATGATTGCTAGTATCATAGATTTATACTATACTATAATTAAGATATTACCACGAGCATGATATTATTGAGCCAGTGGTTTGAAGCTATTTAGTTCGTTTTTTTAACATAAGAGCTGCATGTGACTTATTACTAACCGAAGGGCAAAGTTTTGGTTTGAATCCTTATTTTAAAAAGCATAAACCAAAGTCCTTCAAAGTAACTCCACAACAGTTAATTAAACGTCAGGCACGTCATTTATCGACTTGTTTTCCAGAGTCCAGACAAACGGTATCCTAACTATTTTAACAAAACGGTCTTGCACATTCCAAGAACGTTCCCAATTACTTTGGATAGAAAAGTAGATGTTAATTAATTCACATAGCTTGTCCAAAATTAATCAGTGAGTATCCACCTGATCAAGAAAATAGATCAGTTACCTAATCACTAAAGAAATAAACTTCTATATGATTGGTAAGATGAGTGATTTAACATAACTGTTAAGAAAATGAATCTTTGTTTAAGAATTTCGGGTTTAATATCAGAAATAAAATAAATCTGATAGGACAGAAAAGCTTGATAAATATACGTCTTTAAATCTCTCTGTCCTTGGTATGGACTTATATTTCGGCTCTTAATTTCTCATGATCCATATATGAATTGATTATTTTATTTATTTTCAGTTGATTTTTAAATTCCTTTATTTTAACCATAAGGTCATAAAAGTCGATCAGGTGTACCTTGACGCCTGATAAACAAAACAGTGTATGCATAAGAACATTGGCATGTAACCAGATCAATAATTTATATTTTATTATACTCAAATAAATATACAGGATTGCCATGTTATTACATTTCGATCATTTAGATTTATGGTGAAATGGTAACTGGATGGAGGATAAGTGTCATTCAATTTTACTCATCTTTTATGTTTTATTTACAAGATATTTCAGTCGTTTTTCAGACATTTGAGTTTACTAATTTCCTTGAGTAACACGGCCCATTAGGTTTTGTGGTTCGCCATTTTTATTAATAACTCAATTAGCAGACGAATAGAAAAAATGCTGCCAATAAGCCATAAAAAGTCAAAATTTTCAGCATTGACCAACACATTCTTTTAAATCAATAAACACTGTATAGTCGTTTAATCTTGGAACAAAGCTCCTCATCAAGTCAAATCCGTGATACTGGATGATGGTTGTGTAATATTATGAGCTGACTAAAGTTAGACATAAAACGATTGGTTGGATGGTCAGTGGCCTAAATATCGTTACTTCACTGCAAGACCTGAATGTTTTGAGTATAGTTCTTGGTGGGGTTGAGGATTCCCAATGTTGAGGAACTCATATTTAGAAGAAATAGTTACCCGTTGCTTACCAGTTTTCAACGATTGTTCAAGTATGATCAGTCTGTTATGTAAACCATAAAATCCAACATTCTCTACAAACCTATGTACTGGCATTTTCTAAGTTGTTAAAAAACACAAACACATATGCGTGCAATCGATTGTTAGTCGGAAAATTCGAATTTTTCAACATTATGTTCATATCCTTTTGAAATAACTGGTATGGAACTAGCTTCTCAGCGCAAATCCAATTGTTTTCTTCTATCTAATTTTAACAGCTTGCTCTTACTAGCTAGTGTACATTTCTTTTGCCACTACCACTTCATAACAAAGTTGATTTTTCTCAAAAGATAGATATGTTACGTCTATCGTTAAGTGATACAAATAAGTTTTTTTGCCTTATTCACGGTATAACCAAAAAGGCATAGAACGTGAAATATTTCCTTTCATCTTACAGTGGTGTTGCTTCCCAGTGATTACGGTGTGCTTTTAGTTTTATGAAATTTAAAGATTTAATTTACTAACCAGTTATCCTTATAATTGATCCTTTGGAATAATTAATTGATTGATAAACATTCTGCTTCAGGTAACTGACATCTTACAATGCAGTATTCAATAAAGTGAAAATCTGAAAATAATAGAAGTTAGTAATAATCCTATTATATCTGTAGATGTAATCAATTACTGAAAACAATTTAAAAACTAAATTTGTAAGATATTGAAGTAGAATGATACTAGTATTCAACGTTAAAAAGAGTAAATGTTATACCTTACAGTTGTTGATGTGTATTATTGAAGATCAACAGTTATCTTGTACACTGTGGGTTTCATCAAACGCATAACCTTTATCAGTTCATATTATAAATTGATTTGTGAACATTTATGAAATTAAAAATAATGATTATCTAATGATACTACAATATTATTACTTGATCATACTTATTTAATTATTTATATATTCTCATAGAATGAATACTTTTAACTGTAAATCGCCATACGATAACTTCAACGCTCAGAATTTCTAGAATAAGCATTGAATCGATTATCTCAAGGTTATACACGCGTTTTTTTTTATGAAATAGACATGTAGTTGTAGACACACACTCTGAAACGTGTTACTAAGGTTAGTTTTTATACGAACAAAAGCAAAACCTTGTTGTGAAATATAGCTGATTAAGGACAGAAAAATAAAAGCATAACTTTGTCATTGAAATTTCAGTTTTTAACTCTTACATAGTCCTATCTCATGGCCACGCGACTAACCAATGAATGTCAGAAGAAAGATTGGGATTACTTTGTTTTTATGAATAACTATAAGTGACTATATAAAACTCAGAAATTGTGATGGCCAAGAAAATGTTAACGTTCGTGGAACTAAAGATTTACATGCTTGGATCATCCATTCATAACTGAAATAAAATCTTTATACAAATTTTATAAAATAACTCACCCTTCGAAACTGACTAATAAGATCGCATGTCATTGTTACACAACACAAGAGAAATATACCACAAGCTTCTTTCTAATAACACAGAGAAGACACAATTGAAGGATAAGGTATTGAGGGTTTTCAGCTTGCTTAAGAAACAAATACGGTTAGTACGAAATTATGATGTATATTACTAGGCTTCTCTAAAGTAAGGTAAGCGTAAGTTATCAACAAATGAAACTGATTAACTGTACTAATAATCGATGAATTGAGAATTGTTTGAAAAAAATAACTCGTGAACATCTACAATATAGTTCAACAGTAATATGATTAGTTGATGAATTCACAGGTTAAGCTCTGAACTCTATTTATCATTTCTGTCAATATACTACTGACAATACCTACAAAAGAGTGAAAGCGTTTTCAACATCTTTTAATATCCTCTGTTATTTCATTAAGTGTTTATTTATAAATATGTTAATAAAGTAGGTGATTGTCTTAGATTTCATCGTTAGTATAGGTAAATGATAAATATACATTTTTTCGTTATATCCCAATGCGTGGGAAAATTGTATTTCTGACGTTTCGTTACTTAATATAAACCACTTCTTTAGAGTAAATAAATAACAGAGATATTTATTTACTCTAAAAAAGTAGCTTATATTAAGTCACAAAACGTCAGAAATACAATTTTTCTACTCATTGTGTTAAATATCAAAAAATATATTTATCCTCAACTTTCTATCCAGTGCTCAATTTGTTTGAAACTATAAAGTTCAACCTTGTGATTGATACCCATAAGTAAATGATTTAAATGCTGGTCTTTTTCACAAATGAATTCTTAGTTAATTTCTAGTAATGATACGAAGACTTATAAAATATATTACCATGCTGAATAATTCATTTATAATAATACTGATTTGAAAAACTTTTAAATAACACCTTCATACCACGATATATTGCCATTTGCACCAACTTTGTCCTCAGGCTAAGTAGACCAGTTAATGGTAGCGGGTCTTGTATTCCACTCAAATAACACACTATGCAAATTATATTTTTTGAATTCACAAAATATACTACTACTTTATCCGTTTCTAGCTCTTTATGTCTGAAAGACTTTCATGGATTTCATGGGAATCTGGTCGTAGATCAGTTTGAGTACTGAAATCATTTTGCTGCGTCATCACGTTTATTCATATCTCATATTGGTTCACAGGGTTCACATATAAAATTTTGTATATGAATGCTCAGAGAACAAGCCCACATCAAAATCACTCACCTGAGCTACAAATCTTCTCCACATATATGAATGAAATTGTACCACATAAAAACAAATTCGTTGAAAAAGGATTACATCGAAAAAATTTCATGTTTCCACGTTTAGATAGGAATTATTGGTTAACTTCGATTTTAGCATTATTATGAAGTTGATTCATCCTTCAATATATGTATATATATAGAACCTATTACAGTTTCAATAACACAAAAACTGTAACGAATAACGCTTCATCACTAAACTGTTACGATGAAACACAGAAAGAAAGTGGCAGTGTGGAGTGAAAGTCAGCATTTGACAAAAAGAAAATCAAAGCTTAATACTTTTATATTGACGCTGGCTGACATGACTATCAGGTACAAGCATTTAGCAAATTAAGTATCGCAATAATCTAGTCGGTAAATACCACAAATGGAACATTTATGCTCGTAGTTATCGACGCAAGAAATAACCGTTGTTAATTCATAACACTAAATAACTGGAGATTATCTTAGAGAAGTAATATCTGTGTCGAAATGGCATTAACATACCAGTGAAGCTCAGCCTTTTAAAATATTTAATATCCTGGCTTTTTAAAGAATATTGGACGGTTCATTAGAATGAGTATTACATTATTTAATAAAATTTTAACAGAATTTATTAGCTAGGACTATTTCTGCGTAATAACCTCATTTAACTAATCAATAATTCACCACTTAGGATGTTATTTTAAATTATTTATTCCAGTGAAATATGCAAACCTCTGCAATCGGACAAGATGTATTGAAATGTATCCAACTGTAAATGCTGCAAATTCACTTAATACAATAATTGTCCTAACATCACAAAAAATAATCTAAAACAGAATTTTATGTGTAAGAATATAATGACTGTAGATAAATAATCAAATCATTTTTGATCTTATGAAATTAGGCAGTAAGGCTAATATTTTAGAACTTCAACAACAATATCCCTATTAAATTCACTTGGTATTGTTTGTTTGAATCTTCCCATTGATGTTTAGGACTGCGATTGATTAGTCTCTAATTGGCATATGTGCATACTGTGCGTATCGCCTGTATATTGCCTGAAGTCACAAGCATTATAAGCAAAGATGGATAGTGGTTAACAGTGGAATCGACGACGTGCGTTTCATCCTATTTGTGACTCGTCAGCCGGATGTACCTACATCTCAGATTTGATGTTCACTCTGGGACTCGAACCCAATACCTTTTACCTCAAACGCCATCACGTTATGCACTTCTCTTTTGAGTCCTGATAGCCACTTTCTCATGCAATAAAGCGAGGTTTAAATTCACTTGTATTGTTTGTTTAAATCTTCCCATTGATGTTTAGGACTGCAAATAGGACTAGAACCGCGCCCTAGATTCCACTGCAAGCCACTACCCTTTTTCGCTTATAATATCATTATTATCTCAAATAATTTATGATATAAACGATGAACCATTATAATGATGTATCACTTTTTTAAATAAACTTTTTTGACAATTATTATCAAGCACGAAATTTAAGTTGAAGCATTTTTGATATTTATCTCAAAAAAAGTTTCTATATTTTAAAATAAGCAAAGGTGAATAGTGGCTAGCAGTGGAATCCAGCAAGCGTGTTTCTTCCTATTTGGGACTCGTCAGCTGGATGTACCTTCACATATAGCAATAACATACTGACCAGTTGCAGTTCTAAACATCAATGGGATAATTCAAACAAACAATACTAAGTTAATATGTTTTAAAATAGTTTTAAAGTGTTCAATACATATATAAGGAAAATAGGAATAAATTATAACGTATTAAACTTGTTAACCGTTTGAAAATTAACTGATGAATCTAGTTGAGAGAAAAAAATTTTTGTTTTATTTTTTCATTTCTTTTTTTTCGAAATAAATATCCTTCCATAAGATAGGTCCTAATTCTGACCAGACAAATAGTCAGAAAACTTATTAACCAATCAGATTGTTTTTATACGACTTATTGATTTAGAATTGTTATATTTATCAATTTAATCAATAGATTTTCCTTTCCAAATATTATTATTGTTCGTTTACTTATGCGCATATCATTCTTATATATTAATTTTGTAGAATATATAACATTATGTCTTATTGAAAAATAAATGGTTTTAAGAAATACCATAATAATAATAATATGGACTTGTGTACCCAGATAATATTTAAACGAATAAACTAAATTCAATGGAATTATATGAGAAAAATAAAAAGGAACACTGGAAAAATCTAGTTGGTCAACAGAATCTTAAGTAGCTAAAGGCAAATTTATAAATTTCAGAATAATTAACGATTCAAAACATAATATAACAAGAAATTTTGTCTTATTGCTTAAACATGTTGAATTCTATTTTGTAAATGCACTTTTATCAAACTATTTAATTGGATATGAAAATCGTCCAAAAGAGTGGAAACTGCCTATAAATCTTTATATATATAAATATATATATAATTTATGAGTATGCATCCATCATTTTCGGATACATATAGAAAGTCAGATGATGAGGATTATACAGCTGAATCGAAACCTCTGACTGGCAAAGGATGTAGTATCAATAATAGTAACAACAATAATTTGTCTAATCCTAATAACGATAACGCAGATGAAAAGAAACTCAATGATGTAATAAAGTCAATTGAAGAAGGAGATAAGTATAGTATGTCTGTCGGTCTAGTCAAACAAATGGATTCAGATGATACGGTAAGCTCTAATTGAAAGTATTAGTTCTTTTTGAACAATCGGTATTTATTGATGATATTATTCTGCTACTTGAAGACTAAACGAACAAGTTCTCAACTAATAGGATCTATGTACACAAAGCTACTTTAATTAAAAATATTTATATGATTAACCGTGTTGCATTCCTTATTTTCAGTCTAAAGTTCATGAGCATACTTATTCTAACTAACGTTTTAACAAAAAAGAGCTATTTGTTATTTTTACTACATTAGAATTCGGACATTTCCATGTTGATATTGTAAATTGTTATATTAAGATGAGCTGAAAACCTTCAGATTATCGAATGACTTTTAAAAGAATCATTTAATTTAATTCAAAAAAAAGAAAACCACAGCTTATTCTTGTTGTAGATACTTTAAGTTATAAATATTAAACACAAAAAAATCGTAACAGTAAATATAAAAATTATTCTTTAATGTACAACTTTAAATTCTTGTATTTATAAATAATACCTGACTCCTTGAAGATGTACATCAGGCACAACTCATTGATCGTTATCATATGAATTTTAACTTATTGTTCAATAATTGTTGAGTATAGTTACATAACTAACAAGTTTATTTTTCTCGCGCTAAGGTTTGAATCAACTGTTAAACTTAACATAAGAAAATTTCTGTATGATTTGAAGCAATTTAAACGATCATTTCCACATTTCAGATTAAATATACTTCATTACACTTAAGCGTGTTCAAATTTCATGTTTTACTATTTGGATTATCCACTCTCTAAGAACACGTTGTATTAATATCCTGGAAATTGTGGTGCTATTTTTACTACAAATATATGTTTCACGGGCTGTTAAACTATTATTGTTCATAATAAGATAACTTTATATGATCAATTAAAAATGTCTTCTCTGTTACACAAATTAAAGTAGTATTTGTCATCGATTTATCCGGTTAAACGAATAAAAATAATTATTTTTTAGATCATAAATGAAATAAAATTAGTAGTAAGCATTTAACATTACGACAGTTACTCAAAACGTAGAATAGTAAATGTCTCATTTGTCTGACAAACTGGTGATTATCAACTGCTTTATTTGAATATGTAGATTCAGATAACGAAAAGAAATTCAATTGACTTTGCTAAGAAAGTAATCAATGTTATTTACTTCATCTTATCTTGCATTTATTTTGGTATTTGATTTCGAAACTCATTAACTAACCATGTTTTTTAATTATCATATTGAGTCATTTTTAGTTTATATAAGTCAAATATATTTGTAACTGGAACTAAATACTAAAATAATATCGTCCAATATTTGCAACTGAAAAATGAAATCCGCTGACATTTTAGGTTGACAATTCCAATTATTTAGGACCTCATATATATTTTGAAAGTATTATGAGAAGCTGAGTTTTACATAAACATAAGGTTTATTTTCACAATTTATTTCCAACCATCTTATGATATTTATTCTCATTATTATAGTATCTTTAGATATTACTAAAATGCTCCATATCATTTATAGTGCACGAGTTTGCCAGAAATTTACCTGTCTCAAGCCTTTCTTATCAAAATTGAAATTATAATCAGGTATTTTCACTAAATAATCTTATCTTGGAACTTGTCACATCTGTACTTTAGATGAATTTGTATGAATATATGGAACATATAATTTGTAGCAACTGAAATGACACAACCAATACAATGTGTACAGTATCCGAAAATGATTCCGCTTTCTTGGTTTGATGCAATCTATCTAGTATGTATAATATCTATCCAATCATATTTAGAAAATTCATAAAGTTATAAAATGAAATTTCTGTATTCATAAGTTCTCACTTGTAAAATAGTGTGATCTTTTCTGGTTTGACATTGTTAAACAACTGTCTCATTAACCAACTTGATTGACTTTATTGGTCACAGCTCAAGTCTAGAAAGCTCCCAAAACTCGATAATTGTTGTAAAGAGCTTAAATTTAGTGTAAACACAAAAAAAGTCCTGAACATTATCAAATGTGTAATCAGCAAGCTAATACAGAAGTAGTGCGTTTTAAAATGATGTAATTAAATCACCATGATTTAATTACTATTTTACACTACGATACTATGACAACATACAGTAAACAATGATCAGAATATCTAAATTTGTATGCTTTTAGCGATAATTTCGGTTTTTAACCAAAACGGAGGTATTATTCCGTCAAAGTTTTAACCGATTGCATGCTGTACGAAATATGTAACAGGTGTTGATGGATGTAATCATGAATGAAAAGCTTTATTACAAGATTAGTTGCTTATCAATTTACTAATAGACAAACAGGGACAAAGGTTTCCTTTTCATACCGGTCATTTGTTACAATTTTTTTCAAGTTTATAAAAATTTAATACTAAAATATGTATAGCATCTTTGATGATACTGAGTTATCTTTTCCTTTGCATAGTATACGGACCATTATTTAACAGAGAAATGTCTTCAGTTCGTCCATGCCATTTCATACTTTCTTGCTTTTCTGCTTCGCGTACAAATAGACTGTTCTATCTGAAAATAATTTTACTGTTTAACCTGCAGAAAATAAGCATTTTAAATCTTGACTGTCAAATAACTTGTTTTGAATAAGATGACATATACAACTGGCTATATGATTTTATAATTTTTGGATTGACTGTAAGACGAACGACGTTAAAACTGGTAAAAACATATTGTACTAAGGAACAACTATTTCGTTTTTACTTATCTGGAATCAAGGTTTACTGTTGTAATGCATTTAAATTACAGGTTTTGTATATTATTACTTTATAATTGTTATATCTATGTAGTTGAGCTCCATAAAATACACTCTAAACGCAACAAATTGTAATTTTGTAAACTATTATACATGGTTTATGTTTTTTATGAACATACAGAGTAATTTCCAGATATTTTGGTGTTCCGGATGATAAAGTCGATTTTCATAAGATTAACAAAAGAAAATCTATTATTCTTCACATTGATCTACAGCTAACGATTGATTGCTAGAAAAACTGTCTTAAGTCTTAGTTTTACACACAAGTATGCTCTTGAAATCTTTTTAGATGAATATGTTTATTGTCCATCAAGCTGTTAAACTAGTTATCAGGGTTCCTAGGAATATTATAATTCTCAAAAAGGCGATTTATTTTAATTGATTAAAAACCTATTAATATTCTCGGATATTTTACTATTATCCCGACATCACATTGAAAGAAAAACATTTCTGCATTCTGAATTGCAGAGAAATCACGATGGTGCGTGCATTTTGTTGATACGCAGAAAAAATAATATACGCTATTCCAAAGATGAACAAACTAGTATTTTAATGCACAACCGATTTCATGGGTTACCATGATGAACACCATGTAACTGACTTTTCGAGGTGGTTGCTCAACACGCACTTGGGGACTTACTTACAAACAATAGACACCTCATTCAACGACTTGTGTCCCAGCTTCCGAACATCCTCAAATAGATTCATAGAGATACTAAGAAGATTAGCCTGCTAAGAAATAAGTGGTTAAAGGATCATATATTCTGGAGCCAAATTGAAGGGTAAACCTCAAAAAAGTCAACAGGAAATGACCATTAGTATCTAAAGTTCAAAATATAGGGTGACAGAAAACAGGATTTTGTGTAGGACAAAGATGGAGCCTCTTACTGACTACCTCATCCCAACAGAGTGCACGAATATTCGAGTCACTTATACTAGTGCAGACATTAAAACCTAGCCAACAGAATCTTATCAGCGCTTGAAGAACTAGGGAAACATAACATCAATCAGTACTAAGCGAACAGTTAATTGTAAACCTCTCGGTACTATAGATGATCAGTTGGTGGCTGAACACCTTATTGGCAGTGTAATGAAAGAGAACACACACGTGGGAACAATCGAATATACTTGAATATAAAAATACAGAATATCCTGGTAAAATCTGAGTGCCATACAGTAAATACTTCACTTGCAAAATGTCGATCAATCGTCTCAAAATTTACTGTTGATTCATTTTCACACCATTCATTCTATATCCTCGTTCTCTTTTGTTTGATCTTCTTAACCTTCTGCCACCAGGCGTTTCAATTTTGATAATGATACATACTACTTATATCTGTCAACATCAGTAGCACGTAGCATAATTGCATGTTTCACTGGTATTCTGTATAACGTGGGTTCAAATCCCTTACAACATTTTAATTACCTCGCATGTACGCCTTCCTGATGATTGCTAACTAACACAAGACCTAGGTAAAGACTTTACTGTCCACTACGTCCAACCCCCTAACGTAGAAATGCTTTCATAATAGGGTTGAAATATCTTTGTTTTTCTGTCCATATTGATTTTTTCTCACAGAATATGAAAATTTTGAGATTCTTGAAACTTGAAAAGACCTAACCTTCTGTTATTTTTAAGTGTTGAAATTCTTTCTTCTAACCATGATGGATTATAGATAGCCGTATATTTTTTAAGATAACGCTGATGTTAATTGAATGTCAGTTACAACTTCAGTTTTAATGAAATCAGTATTATAAAAATTGATTGTGTTTCGTATTATTGCTTTTCATTTATTGTTATTCTATTGGCTGTGCAGGAAATAATGACGAATACTCCACAGAAAAGAAATTGGAAGGGAATTCTACTTGCATTGCTTGTGATTATGTTTATTTCTTCCTTGATTCTAACAGCAAGTGTGTTGACAACACCAAGTAAGTTGAGATTTCAAGTATTTCAAAGACAAAGTGATTTTGACCATTAATTTATATATATTTGTATATGTTATAAACCAGATCCTTTGATGCGTGTATTTCGTAGTACAGTACAAACTATTCCTAGTTTTGACAAAATGAAAATAATATTAAAATATTCCAGCTTATGAACAATACACTATCAGTCTCTTATGAGACTGAGCATTCGTTAGTGAAATTTTGCTGATTAAAATCAAATTATGTTTGTGTTTCGGTTAGATTCATAAACATAGGATTACATCTAAAGATATAGATTTTGTTCGGTATTTGTATTGTATTATTTTATATGTCAGTGTATAACATGTGAATTTCTTCAAGACCAACGTCACATTATTTCTACTTAAAAATATAAAACAAACTAATGCATTTATTATTACTTTAATTGGTTTTCATTGATATTTCTAAATTTCGAAGTTAAAAATAAGGACAAATCTTAGTCAAGCAATCATTGAAAATTAGGATGCACTAGATTGCTGTTTATTTCTATTATAAGACTTTTAATTAGTGAGCATACAAGACTCCACCGGTCATCAAACACAATCTTTGACCCTCGCGGTAATCTCTTGCACTGTAGACTAACGAGAAGACATCCAGTGGTTTACATTTTCAACTTCAATCAACCATCCTATATTACACTGCCTTACACCTAACATGTTTGAAATCCAATGGTTGCGGCCTCTCATCTAGACTCTGGAAGTACCTCTCGATGTCGGACACTAGAGAGAGCACGATTAATTACTGAAAGAGGTTTATGGAGACGTTTAAAATACGATGATTAGTATGACGGGTTAGTCTTAGCAGTGTTCATAAGGTGATTCGAATTCCCTTTATTGGGCTCATTTGTCTATCGTGCTTTCAGTGTTTTTTAAAACTTTTGACTTAAAATCCGACCTTCAGAGTAACATAACATATTAAAAGCAAAGATGGATGATGGATGTCGGCTCAGTGGTCTATTGGTTAAGTGCTCGCGCGCGAGACTGTTAGGTCCTGGGTTCGAATCTCACTCGCGAGTGCGGGATCGTGGATGTGCACTGCTGAGGAATCCCACAATAGGACGAAACGGCCTTCCAGTGCTTCCAAGTTTTCCATGGTGGTCTAGCATCAATTGACTCATGATTCCAACTATAAAATTACTAAAATCTCCACAAAAACCTTTCTGATTCATAATTATTGTCATATAGACTTGGAACTTCTAATATTATTGTCTAATAATCTAAGTGATTGTTACTGACTTTATCATTGATAAACATATATATTAGTGTAGATCTATGATCGACAACTAATTGAAAAAAGACATTTCCTCTGTTTGGTTTTTCTTCAAAAATATAATTTTGATGGTCTATGAGTTAAGGATTTGTAATCCAGTAAAGTATTATCATGAATGATTATGAAGTGAGCATCATGATTTAGAAACATTCAACAACCTAACCAAGCTAAATAGAAGTGCTTGAGTTTGTTAAATAGTCAATATGCATGAATCTTAGGAGAAGTGCTAAACGTTTTCATATCTAAAACAGTGATTTTACATAAAAAAGAGTCCGTAGGTTACGTAATTCCACTTCAATGTTTTTGATTAGACCAAAAATACTACTTATGTTTATTAGTTTATACCCAGTATTAAGGTATATTCAGTTAATACTCCATGGGCATAACACATTTTGGTAATAGAACAAATCTTTCACCTCAACAACCAATAATCGTACATTGTTGGATTAGACAAAACGTTCATGTGAAAAACAAAATTCAACATATTTATTATTTCATTATTTTAATCGCTGAAAAATTCCCATCATATTAAAACACAATTATATGAACGAAGAATATTCTTTTCAATAATTTCTCATCAGGTACATCATTCAAAAAACGGTAATATGTGATTCAAGGATTGTTTGTCATATAAAATAAAATCGAATCGTTAATGTTGGGATGACTAACATGTACTGTTAACTCTAATCGGTTTATAAGTGAAATATAATTGTAAGATAAATTATCAGAATATATATGGGGTGAGATAGAACATTGGGATTACAAATCAGAATGAAGAAACCTGAGCTATGTGTACAGAAAAAATATCTCCAACCCCTACTCCTCCCTTGGCCAACCACAAGGCCAATTAATGAACAATTACGTAATACGTAGAATAATATAAATTAGGTCAGATGTGGTAGATTGAGGGTGGATGCTGAATAAATTTCTCTAAAAGGTTAGCATTACTGAAATCCTTTCTCAAGTATGATTGTATATTGAAATTATCACAACGATTTCTAAGAAATGGTATACAAATGATTTTCATGTCAATATATCTAACATATAAAGAGCGATGAAGATTTGAAGGTGCCTACAAACAAAAAATGTTGATCACTTCCAATCATTCATAGTCTAATAAAAATCAGTTTGTTAAACTTGTTTTCAATACAATATTCAATGTTCTCTTATCTCAACAAAAGTTTGAATTATTTGTATACTAAATATTTGATTAGAACTGGACATCGTTATAGAAAATAGTAAGATATAAAAAATATAGAGTATTCAATTGGCTTGCTCACATAGGTTATTTCACCTAATGCAGGACATGTGGTTTGATTTTATGGGATGGAATATTTGTTGACTTACTTTGCTTGTGCAATAGGTGTTGAAAGTTATATTGACTCCTTATTAATCTTGTTAATATAAATAACATTTTCTGTATGATGTAAACTATTCACAAACAAGCTGTGATGTGAAAATCAAAATACATATTAAATTTAGAAAAGTAGGTGTTTATCCAGAAGACATAAAATTTACGAAATAATACAAATGAATAAAAAAATCACAGATAGTTGTTTCTTTTTTATGTATCAATAGAGGTGACCATATTCTCTATGTTCGGTTATATTTATTAGGTTTGTTATTTGCATTGTTATATACCCTGTTCATTTTATTTCGATTTGCTGATCCAATGTATATGAACAAACCTAAAAATGCTGACATCCAGATTTCAATACAGTTTTTGATTTACATTTTTCATCGTGGTTAGTTTGCCAATAATAGTTACGTTACATTATTTGAAGGGCATTTCTTTAGAACATACCTCAAAATTCGAACAAATAGTTTTGCATTAAGTGGGCGGCAAGTTTATGGAAAAGATTATAAACGAAAATATGTCTGTTAAACTCTCAGCGAATGAAAAAAGTAACTCTAATGTTTCATTTGACATTCAAGTGAATCATTGAACATCGAAACAATTTAATATAATTTAATATATAATATAATTAATATAATTTAATATAATGTAATATAGTTCACGAAAGAACTGTGTACTCAAAGATTGTCTGATCATACTAAGATATTGAACATAGAATTTGTAAGTGTGAACAGGATTATGAGTCCTTGGTGTGAGATGTGTTGAATGCGATAGTAATTGAATATATATATGGACATAGGCCACGATTATAAAGGAGATGGGTCAATCTGTAAGGTAATTACAAGCAAAAATTGTCAGAGCACGAATAATATGGCAATAAAATGGTAAATATATGATTGTGTTGATTATGTTAAACAGAATATTCATGACATATCGAACCGCAATAACTTGTTCGGAAACAATGAAAGTATTACGTTGTTGTCTACACAACATAGGAAAAAGGGATAGTTAAATAAATATTTATACTCTTTTTCCTCATTAGCTACCGTTAAACAACTAAATGTTCTCCATTCTATCTACTTGCATTGTCTAGGTTTGACCAAATATGCAGGCCTTCTGTTGTCATTTTTTGCCAGTAACGAAACCTTATTTAGCAATTTTGTACCACTGAAGTTAATTATATATCCAGCTTCCGATGGGTGTTGTGGTACTATCGATCTATTTTTAATTCAAACCTGATCTCTCTGTTCAGAATAGATATGCCCAGTTGCTTATTTTGCCATAGTACTAACTTACTAACTTAATTTTACTATCCTATAAACAGTTCTTAACACCTGTTCATTTCTTCTTTATCTTCGCTTAATTTGTTAAGTGTGAGTTTATCTTTCATATCTCTATCGTAAAAGTTATTTGTAGATTGTCACCATGGTATAACCGTTTTAATATTATGTAATTTACACTCATAATTTTAAAGTAATTTGAGTTTTTGGTAACCCCGTTGACTTCTTGTTTTATCATAGACTATTATGTGTCAAGCAGCCATAAGTACAATTGTACCCGTGTAATACATAACAGATTCGGAAGGAACCTTTTCTTTGCTGAACTGTCTTTATTGTGACTTGACATAGAAAGTCATGAGTGTAAATATTGTTTGAGCAGTTTGGTCTGAATAGATTTTTTGGCACACTGTGTTTAACAACTGCTTTTCTGCTTGCTTGTTATAACAAACTGCCTTCTTACAAATGCTGGTGTTTAGTTATTTTCATTTAGTGCGTAATCATCGTTTCTTGATTAATTTCTTTTGGCATTTAATTTTAGAAGAGAAGAAGATCGACTATGGATTACCGTTCACTTTTTCTGATCTTATGCACGTAAATAAACTTTTGGAACCATTCAATAGTCAATCTGTTAATGGTATGATGTCGTTCTTACTTATTATGATTGTCTACATAAGCAACATTTTTCATGATACTTTAAGCTCTCGTTAACTTTGAAACGACCAGTTAAAAGGATATCGACGTCTGTCTAGCTGATGTCTGTCCATTTTGTATAGTTTACTATATTAAGATTGCCAAAGCTAGTTGTTTAAATTGTTTAAATACAAAGTAGTTAACAGGTGCTGTTTTATCTTACAGCTTTAATTTACCCTTAATACAGTGTTGATAATTTTGACTGTAATAACCCACTGACTGAATTTAGACTATTTAACACAGAATTTAAACTACATTTTTTATTTAAGTTATTTAAGTAAACGTTTATGTTATTGGAAGAGCCGTTTCCATATCAATCTTTAAGATAAGGTTAGCTTACTAACAAATTATTCACTCATAGTATATTGACATCGGTACAAGTAATCACATCACAACAACACATCGAATAGAAAATCTCAAGACAAATGCAAGAGTAGTTGTTGTCATAAACGGATAATAGGTCATAAAACGGATCAGGGTTGGACAGTACGATTTCAAAAGAAAGAATGAATTCGCAGAAGACAAAGGATGGATGCATCTGCAACATTGCGAGTGATTCTAAGTCATGTCACCAGACGTTTCCAATCACTTGTTACAAACAAGTTGATTCGATTCCTTCAACATGAACATTTGAATTGAGTCAAATATCCCAAGTTACCAGAAATAGTACACTAAAAATAAAAATTTTTATTCGCCTTTTGAAATTCAACTAGCCATTAAGATAATTTATGAACACTTCACTGGATAAATTAATTCTTATTACCATTTATGACCACTTCAAATAAAATTCTTGGAATTATTTTCATGATTTCTCACTTAATAATTTCAAGCCAAATTAGAGATTTACCTAAAGTACATAAAAGATTCCTTTGTGATTTCAGTGGTTACTGCTAGATAGAGCTTAAATTGCCTCAAATATAAGCTTGTTCAGTAAATATGGCTTCCGGCATTCATCGTAGATTAGTTACACTATAACTATATGTTCACGTAGTAACTAAAACTTCTTCAAACCTGTTGTCAATCGTTAATCACTATAGTGAAAGGGAAACTACTAATCATTATGAATTGTACCCTGAAATAATGAAGACACACCTATTTCTTAGAGTAACTATTATTTTTCATGTCAATAAATGTTGCCATTAAAAATGAGATGTTGATACAAAGCTGTAAATTTTCTTGCTGTCATTATCAAATAAAATTTCAATCTCATTTTAGATAGTTTTGTTTATTTAACAAAAGAACAAGATTTACTCGTGATGGATACCAATACGCTCAAAGAAACACTTCTTCTGTCGCATCTTGTTATACAAGAGGTAATCATTGAACCTATCGTGAGCTTTTATCTTACCTCAATCAGTGTTTCCATTTATCAACCTTTATAAATGTCTTTTGTGTAGTCTTACTTATATCACTAAAAACATATTCCATAAAGTAAGGTTTTATGATTATTATATGACAAGCTATTTCACTGATCTGACTGCATTGATCTAAATGTTTAACGAAAGTTGTTACCTACTTTTTCAATAATTATGTATGTAGGCTTCTTTTAATTATAAATCAACATACCTAAACGTTCTTTGTCTAGCCATCAGTGATAAATCGTATTTTTGGAAATGTTTGCTTTTTTAAAAGACATTTACATCTAAAACTTAGAATTTTCAATAAAGTTCTTTTAAACAAACCATACAGCAGTGTTTTACAGAAGACAAAATATTTCAACAGATTTACCCAAAGTGAAATGTTTTTAAATACAAATATATGCATCACATGTTTTAATGACCTAACTCTTGTCCATTGAGAATGAATATATGTTAGAATACATTATTGAGCAATAGAATTTTAAAGATAGCAAATATTCGTATTTCGCTAAAATTAGCATGATTTTAATATGAGCATTGCATACTAACTCAACAGTAAGTTCATTTATTCACACAAAATTAGTCATAAATTGGTTGTTTAAAAGTGCTAAATATCCCATGGATTTTATGGTGAATCTTCCAGATGACTGCATCAAATATGATTAGTTAAAAGCTTGATCATCCTGTAAACGGTTTTAAATTTGTTGTTGAACGGTTGTGATCATCTGGATGATTACATTCAGATTATTTTTTGTCTTAAATCTCTACATTTTCAATAAATAAAAAAAAACTACTTGACTTGTGTGACTTAACATTATAGACAAGAAACCAAACACTACCTAACAACAATTAACTTAATAACTATACGTTGATACAAATGAACAGTACTTTCGAAATATTATGAGAGTAAAATAGAATACCTTATCAGATTCCTCGTATACCGGACTGTCTGTCAGTTGTAACCACATCAACTGTAGCCACGAACTAAGTTTGTTGAGGGGTTTTAATCATAATATAAACTGTGTCAATGATTTTTTGCCTAAAAGTGTGCGTCACAAAACTTAAATGTTTACTAATTCTTAGGTCGCAGCACTGGTACACTTACTGATGGAAGCCATGCAACGATAGGTTGACACGTAAATAAACTAGTAAACGTTTGGTTTCTTGTCTAGAGAGAGCATGATCAATAAAAAAACATATTTCCCACAAACCTATTTTCAATTATTGAAAGCCAGTATTTAGTACAGATGCCAATCAGTTTATAATGAAAGTTCATAAAAAGAAAGTGCTAATCAATCAAAAACGATATCTAAATAAAAACGTCACTTTTAAAACACATGGTGTTGTTCAAGTGTTTTATGAAACACCATCTACATATAAAACTTATCGATTTTATTGACTTTTATTTTGACAATTAAAAGAATTCGGTCATAGATATAATTCAGTTGTAAAATGTGTCCGATTCTATCAGAGAATGAAACGAGAATTTTATGAATGTGCATCAAAATTACAAATGAATCCTTTGGTAATGCAGAAAATTAAAAAAAACTGTTTTATTCTAACTGGTGAGACTAAACTATACTGACTACCTTTAAACGAATCTTAAATGACCTTGAGGAATACTAGCCAATCAGAAAACAGTTAGTACACAGTAAAAATTTATTATACTAAAGTCAAAAATTAAAAGGGATACTGTTCTTTTACATGACTCAAAAACTTATCAAGGTTAGATATAGGTTCAGAAGTTCTAAAATCATAGTGCATACGGTACAGTAACTCTCCCATATGGCTCCATAGTAGTCGGCCTCTAGAGCCATTATAAGGTCTTAAAAATTCTTTTAGCCTCAACCACATAGCTTCAATGTTGTTGGTATTTTGGTATGGCTTAGGGTTTAGGGTTAGAGTTAAGGTTTAGGGTTAAGGATGAGACTATAAACTATGGACGACCTTTGAGCGACGCTAGAGTGACTCTGAGAGTGTCAACATAATGACTAAAACTAAATGAGGGTTATAAATCTGTGTGAAGAATTCAAATTATGATTTACAGTTCATGGTTAAGGTTAGGAATTATACTTAGGGTTTTCATCACGAACTGATATCAGGTATAATTCCAAAACTCTATTTATACAAATGGATAATTGAATTTCGCACCAAAATCTTATGATCACTTCTCTTGTAGACGCTGAATTATCACGTCTTCTCTAAAATTCGTTGTGAACCGACCGTACGTAAGCATCAGATACTGAACTTAGCGCCGTGACCTTGAAAACTCGCGAAAGCTTCTGACTGGCTCGTCAGTATAGTTTAGTCTCGCCAATATTTTATATTATACTTTCATCTACTAAGGAATCTCTGTCAATTATTGATATTAGACACTAACAGGTATCAGATAATCAAAAATATTTTCAACATACATAACTTCTAAAGAAAGTCTACTTAATTGTTAATACTAATACAATTTATAAGACATGTCAGGTCTGCTTTGTCATAGAATACTTATATATATATATATATATATATATATATATATATATACCATTGCTTATTTTCGTTCTCTTGTTTCAAAAAAATTCTTATCCAGAAAGCCGCATTCATGGAGAAATATTTCGTTGCACCAGATCTATCAGCAGTGATATTAGCATATGATTTGAAAGATGTGAGTGAGGAATAATCAATCACGTGACATCTCTAATTTCTGGTCCTTGTTGTTTTCTGTTTTAATGTGCGTTAAAAAATAAATATTAGAATAGATATCCTTCTCTAAAATTATATGTATGTACATAATTTTGTCATATAATTAATAATTTATGCATGGTTTGAAGTAGCGTGGGTAGCAAATGTAAAAGTGAAGTTGTTCAAGGAGTAAGTTAATCCAAATTAATGCTTCTTTATGTTATCCAACTATTATTTTGCTTAGCGTTTTTTTAGCGAGTTAGATTTCTACGGGATGGGGTCGCTAACCCCATGCCCAACTCTCCTCCTTAACTCGGGCTTGGGACTGGCAGTAACTCTAGAAGAGCTACAGGAGGAGTTATGTTATCCAAGGCTTTATAAATAAATATTTTGTAAATTAAAACATGAATTCGTGATTCTTTATAAAATAAAGAGAAATTTTTAGTATCAGAACGTTTAATATACAATGTTAAATTGACTGAGTTCATACTTTAATCGTAATTGTAAGAATAATATTTCGAATAAATATAGATGCTAAATGGTTTCAATGTGACTTGCACCACAAACGCATTTGAAATGATGGATACAAATAGATTTTGCTAGTTCAGAATCTTTGGATCTCGATATCAATAATGGAAGCGTAGATAATATGAACTGTGTCAATGATTTTTTGCCTATAAATGTCCGTCACAAAACTTAAATATATACTAATTCTTAGGTTGCATCACTGGTACATAATTTTCCTGCTTTGATCATTCTTGGGATTTCTTTCTAGAATCTCACCAATAACAATCCCATGCATTTGCTTAAAACCTGGCTTGTCTTCTGGAATATTAATTTGGATTATTTATTAAAGAACCTGATAAGAATTTCATTGAAAAGAATAATTTTCTTCCAATTAATACTTTCTCTACAGAATCGAATCTGATAAACAAAAGCTTTAGTAGCAATAAGGGTGCCATATGAACAAAAATATCAGTACATAAAAAGATGGATTATATATCTATGATAATGTATTCTGAACTTATTTAACAGTTTCTGTGATCATAATTTCTATAATCTCTGCACCTTGAATATCTAGGGTTTGAAATATTTCAGTGAGTTAGTTGAAATAGTATCAATGATATAGGTCTCCGTTTTAAAAATGAAAAGTATTGGAACCGGTACAATCATCAAACTTGGAAAAAGTACTTACAAGAAATCAGTTTTAAAAGTCAAGGAATCACTTAACTAAATACACTAAAAAGAAGTCAGTTGATTAGGCATGAATAAGATTTTTGTAAACCTAAAATATCAGATTTCAACGATTTTCGACACATATTTTTTGTAAAGAAACATCAGAGCTGCACGCAGTTGCTAATAATGTTTCATTTTCATACTGATTATGTGAAAGTTTAATTGAATTGAAATTGTTTTTCAACTTTCAGCCTACTAGACGTTGTGGAAAGTCAAAGTATGATGTAGTGCGCCTTAATCCGTGAGTGATGGATGATTTTTTTATAAGTATTTCCAAACAAATTTACTGTTCTTACGATAGACTTGTTAAGTTGATGGTTTGAGATGAAGTTTATGTCATCTAGTTAAGTGAGTAAAAAGTAGGGTGATACATTGTGTAATAAAAAATAGATTAGCTTTTTCGTTGCCGTTCAGTTTACAAGGAATTATTTCCATTGAGAAGCCTAGATTGCATAAATCCCATATATGAACTTATTCAGGATTCGTTTGCTTGATTAAAAGGATACGATTATTGAAACTAAGTACTTGGTATGTATGGTACAGAGACGCTGACAACAAATTATTTTATACAAATAACTTTAAACGCTTTCTATTACTGTATTACAAAGACAGTATGATAAGTTCAAATTGATAACAGTGGTTAAATAAATATGTTGTCCGCGGCTGTACAACCAATGAACAAGCTTGAAGGGAGTTCACTCAAACCTTATAGTGAAATACGTCGCCTACTAGTTCATGTTAAAATGTGCTCACAGATCATGTATACTTTGGGCAACGAAGTTTAGATCTAGACGATGTCACCTAGTTATATTTATCCATACATTTACTTCCAATCCTATGAAGGGATGAAATTATGAGTCCGATCCGTAACTTTGTTGAATATAATGATTTTTACTTTGAAATATTTTAAGTAATTTTTAGGCATAATTTTCTCGCACGGTTTGTTTGTCCCAAACTTTAAAACTTACTTTACTTATCCCTTCGCGTTGGCATCACAATGTAAGGCTGGAATAAGTTAACTAACATTACTATTTTATTTAGGCATGTACATTTATATGATGTTAGCTGATGTACAGGTTTTGCTTATAAACATCTAGCTTTCAAGGTTCATCCATTCATTATATCAGTTCTATGATGTAATGTTATTGATCTCATACCATAAACTTACTAGATTTAATTACGAAAAGATATTCTCATGGTCCACGAATCACTTTGAATATTTTAATCAATCTAATAGTTATTAATGATAAATAGTTCCTTGTTTTCACAATAACAACCTTGAAATTACAATTGTGAAATATTAACAAACGATTAATTTTTTGACTAGTTTCTTTCAACTCATAATGTTTCTGTATAGAGTAACAAAGAGAACTGGGCCTGAAAGGAGAATCGAAATCGGAGTAGACGACCAAACGACAGAACAGCCATTTTTAGACTTTGTCAAATGGTCGCCAAAAAGTAATTGTATAGTAAGTTATGTGATTTATTCAGTTGATTTGTTTCAGCTCGAAAAACGAGTAAATCTCCCTGAGGTTGGGATTTATAATCCATCAAGTGACATACTGAATCGATTAATTGAAAAATGTTAGTTTGCATACCATTTCAGCCCATCCACTGTCTCATAATTACTAGATTGTATGTGAAAGTGCTGTTATAGTACTGCTCGTCTATCTTTGACTGAACTTTGTATATAATTCACTCGTAGATTCTGCATGAATATCACTGAACTTGAAATCAGAAAAGAATTTAGATGATGTAAGCACGATATCATTCTCATATTTAACAAGTAATTATCTGTAATATGGTTATTGAACGTAAAATATACATCGTAGGTTAAAATGCACATTTCAGATTAATGATAATGAACCTTTATCTGTTATTCTACATTGTCACAGTACACTCCGTTGAACACTCTATAACTTGGTTTTTATGCTTATCAAATTTGTGGACGTAACAAAATTCATGGGTCCTGTTGTGGCCTGTGTTTTTAAAATTATATACTTATTTGGCATTCATTTATGAACGTCTACAAAATATAAGCATTCTTCTCAATATGCCATTGTGCACGATGCATAAACGTAAATATTATTAAATATAAATGATTGATCATTCACTATTGTGAGAAAGCATTTTCTGCTAGAAATTCGAAATACTCAAATAATAAATAAACATTGGTAAAATATAACGTAATATACAAATATCTTAGGTATTTGGCACATTCGAAGCAAAGCCATATAGCATTAACCATAGGAGTGTAACTATATAAATGTTATTTCAATCACTAAAGCAACGACATTATTGCTTCATGCTTTTCTTCAGCTCAAAAATGTCTGATAATCGCATATACATACCAGTTGTCAGCGTTTCTATGTTTTAGAATTTTTCATGGTTACCGACTAAAAGTATAGATGATTTGTAACTTAGTAATATGGGGAGATTGTTGAAAATGTATGATTTTCAGTTTAAATCTGATGAGTCTTCTAGGTGAGCACTAGATTTGGTTCACAAGCTCTTCTAGTAACTCCCAGGCTCAATCTAAACATCAACTTGAATACGAGAGAAAGGCGCGAAATGTGGAGCGAGATACTTTACTCCAAAGTTTCATTCCTGTACGAAAAATCTAGGGTTTTTAATAGTATTTTACATGGCCTTGAGTTTCCGGAAAATTCTGGAATGCTACTCCACATAGTATTAGTATAAGTAATCATCCATTCAGAGACACAATATGTGACTTCCCATTTTCTAGATGTTTCTGACAAAACCTCTAGTGAATGCTGATGGAATAAGATGCTTCTCAGTGTTTTTAGAGCCTTTTTTGATTGTTTTTCGAGGAGTTTTCTGGATCTCCCCAACAAAATAACAAGCTGCACATAGACCACAGCTGGAAGACAGCAAGAATTGGACGGCTATTCAGTGATGGTAAGGAACTTCTCAGTGGTGGACAGCGAAGAATCTGCAACCGGTCATCGAACCCAGGGTCTTCGGTATTGGACACACAATCTACCTACGGACCACCATTCCCTTCCATTGCATGTCTTGGGTAATTGTCCTGCACTGATGGAGTTTAACCATGCTGGGTACGTATTACCTATCTGCCCCGCTCAATGGATGGGGATTTCGCAATATGGTGAATTTGGGTTAAGTTAGAGATTAACGCCTTTGGATCATAATTACACAGATGCATTTGCTCTTTGTCTTACCCTAGATTCTGATTTACAGCACTCCTTTTAAATGCTCATTATTTGATTCCAATAAGACTAAATGACGATGATGTTTATGAAATAAATAAACTATTTATCTTTGTATATATGCTGTTGACAAATTGTGTTAACTACGTAGAAACAAAGAGTCAAATACTATTTGTGCATGAAGACATTCATGTGGACATGTAAACTGAACAAGTAAAAAAAGAGATCGAATTAACGCAGAAAAGAGTAGCTTTACAGACAGCAGCTTACAAAATAATGGACGATTTAGTTTTAAAATAAACCTAATAATGTATGAATTACAGGCAACCAATTGGAATATAGATGTCAGATACATTTCTGGGAGATCAAAATATTTTCAAAGTTAATAGTGAATAGAGGTTTGTTTGTGAAGATTTTTTTAGTAATTTTTATATATACTTGAAATCATGTGTCAGTCTCGCGCGCGAGACCGATAGGTCCTGGATTCAAATCTCGCTCGCGAGGCGGGATCGTGGATGCGCACTGCTGATGAGTCCCACAATAGGACGAAACGGCCTTCTAGTGCTTTCAGGTTTCCGTGGTGGTCTAGCATCAATTGACTCATGATTTCAACTATATATAAAAATTAATAGTCAATAATCAACTTGAACATGTATATGAAAAAACACTAGGAATGCACCTAGACATGTGTACATACAAAATAATTGCCAAACTTGCGGCTAAACGTGCAAAGGTGGAAGAATGTTTCACAACAGTTCGTATCAGTCTGTACCGGGTTCCACTGCTAGCCACTATCCATCTTTGCTTACCATGCTTGTGAATTAAAGTAATATCGAGACAATACGCATAGTGTGCACATATGCCAATATGAGACTGATGATCTGCAGTACTAAACATCAATGGGAAGATTCAAATAAACATTACCAAGTGAATCTGTCATAATAATTCAACATGAATTGTAAATTGCTCAAGATAACTAAAGATCACGCGACCTTTATGCATACTTCTTCTCGAATCATTAGTTCTCATAATAATTGCCACATCATAATTCTATATGTCTGCCATTCATCTGTTCATTATCATTGGATTATATTTATGTGGTTTTGAAAATTGACAAACTCATATCATTAGTTGAATTCACAAGTTGATGTAAGCTAGACCACCACCGAAAACCTGGAAGCACTGCACAGCCGTTTCGTCCTAGTATGGAACTTCAGTGCTTCAGGGTTTTCAATCGTGGTCTAGTTTAAATCGATTTGTGGATCCAACTGTTAAAAAATACTGCAATCTCCGAAAATTCCCTTACTGATAACTCATATTAGTAGCCATTTAAACGACGATTATGACTGATTTATTATGTATAAACTTACGTACTATCCTTAAGTCATGCTAGTCCGCTGAATTATACGATTGAATGATTTATTGTTTTTCTTGATATTAGTGTTTGGTACTCTTACATTTTTTAAATTCCTAATACATTCATTGTATGACTTTAGGCTTTTGTAGCTCAGAAGAATATCCACTTGTTATTCAATCCACTTGATTCAAATATTAGGAAAATTGTAAATCTTACACAATCGATGCCCCAAAGTCATCTGTCTTATGGTGTATCAACTTGGTTATATGAAGGTATGTAATATATAGTTTAATATTATATTAGAAGATGAACTAATATACTGCACAAAAGCCATTTTTCGGGTAATTGACTTATTCAGTAGAGCAAGAATACTATCATTTACTGTATCGAAGAAATTGAAATCACAAAAAAATTAAATGCGAATCAATTTATCGGTATATTTATAGTTCGAATAAGTTTGTCAGTCAATTTGACTTCCGATATCAAAAGATTCCTGTTGGAGTGAGGAAATTATTATTTTATTATGTTGGTTACCTTTACGGCTGTCATGATAAAAAAACGGGATTTAATCTATAGTTGATGAAAAATCACCAACCTCCTAAAACATCGCTTAGTAAGAGCTTCAGCTAAGATACTAATCTAGAATCTAATTCAGCAATTTGAAGCGTTTTATTTTTAGTAAGCGAAGCACGATGAATATGAATACTTTAAATACTGATTATTCTGTAGTATTACTCTAAACTCTGTTGCATAGTCTATGTAATTGAATGCTAGTAACTTCACCATTTCAACCCACAATATGATCACGAACTTTTGCGATAAGTGAAGTAGGGATAAAAAAGACTCTCATAGTTGATTTGACCAAGAACTACACCAATAATCGGAAAGATCACGATCAAAGCTCATTAAAGACGTACTATTTTGTGTAATGAAATATGTACACAAACTTTTGTCACAAGGTTTAACCCGTTCGCTTTTCACAGGTCTAGTAATTATCTTACCTCACATTGCAGGAATGAAACTTGTACAAGTTTATGTTTGTTTATATAGATTGAGAAAGGAAGGAAAATCATTTTAGTTAACTTATAATGAAACATGATAGTTCTGCCTGGTTGACACATATTAATGAGACTTTATCTTGTTCTCAGTTGATTGCTAATTCAAGTTAACTTCTTTTAAGGTTGGTGAGTAATTCTGAATTCACTTAACGTACGTGAATGTATGGTACAACTTTCATCAGTGTGAATAACATTGAAGCAAATAGTAGTGTGTCCCATTTTGTAAATAATTACTGGTCTTCACACCGATTTCTAACACATATCAGATGTGATTAATTTTACGATACTTTCGAAGTGAATCTTTTAATCATTAAATCCAAGAGCTAAACGAATGTGGGCTGAAGGCACAATTGAAGACGAGCTGTATATAATCTGATGAACACTTATGGAGAATGACCTCCCACCCGAGTTCAGTGACAGTAATCTAGAACCAAATCGCCAAATTAAAGTACTCCCACAGTTTTGAAGAAAGTTTTATCCTTTGATATCAAATTTAGGAGAGATACGACATCTGAGATATTCAAGAATACACTATCCAGATTCTTGAAAAAGACTTTTTATTCAGTAGGAAACTCATTCGGAGAAGTGTCAAGGATAAACTGTCACTTTAGGGCACTTCAATATGCATCTATCAGTTTACTTGCCTTTGTTAGGCAGGTTACGTTGGACATAAAAAGCAGTTCAGTTCTCAAACACGTTGGGAATTTTGATGATATCGACCATATTATCCAACAAAACTTCATTTTGATTGACCTCCACTAGAATAAGTTTGGCTATCTTTGGTAACTTTTTAGAACCCCTCTGTCTTACTATTGACTACTACATGTAAAACGTTACGCATAAATACGATTGCACAGCTTCAGAAAATGATATCATCGGAAAGAAACGTTTTTTTCCCTGAAACGTTTTCATTCTTTCTATGAAATCCATGAAAGTAAAATTTTTTGAAATACTGTTGTCATATGTTAATTATGTGGAAAATTATTGTTGTTATAATAAGTGATAATAATGGCAATAACTGAACAACCCTAAATAGAAATCTATACTTCTTTTGTTTCTTATGAAATTTCTGATGTATAGAGGAAATTTTACACACCAATGAAGCATTATGGTGGAGCGATAGTGGAAATTACTTAGCTGTTGCTGCGTTTGATGAAACGAATGTGAGTACATATGAAATACTTAAATTTGACGATGTTCGTGAGTTCAAAAACGGAAAAAAGAAGATCAAATATTCAATGGTAAGTGAAAATATCTGGTTGGAGTGATGTGAATGATTTATTTTCATTTTACTGTGAAATATAGTAAATATCATGTGCTCAACAATGAATAAATGCATTGGTATTTATTCAGCAACTTATAAGTAATGGGTAAATTCAACTTAGTATTGTTTGTTTGAATCTTCCCATCGATTTGTTAGGACTGCAACTGGTCAGTCTCTAATTGGCATATGTGCATACTGTGCGTATTGCCTCGATATACCTTAATAAGTAATGGGTTTTGTTACGTCCTTGAATCTGTCTACCCACTTTAGTGCCGAGTATAACTTGTCTAATGTAGATTAAGACCTTGACACAATAGGCTGGCTGGCTTAACGTTGAGGTTAGTATGCGTGAGTTCGAAGTGGGGGTAGGGAGACGAAAACTATTCTATCCCTGATTGGCTGGCAAGCACGCGAGAGAGAGTGAGAAGACAAGGACAACTGGAACACTAATCACTTTATTCCAATCCCGATCTAGCACTCGAATTCCGAATTCAAATTAGTGTAAAAGATACCTGAATAAATAGATGAATAACCTGCCCACAACGTAAATAATTAGGAAAATACATTTATGTCCAAAACTGGGGGATTAGAGTAGAAATTGAGTACAAAAGGTTGCGTCTAAATTACAATAGCTTCGGAACAGAAAATGCTATGGCAGTGAATCATACATCAAACGAAAGCTCATGATCTGTAGAATGGACTAGGGGAAAAAGTAAATGTTACAGTTTGAATTAAATGAAATAACGTCCCCCAAAATAGCTTCCGTAGTTTGTCGAGGCCTCTTGTTTCGGGGTTCACATCAAGTTTTCAAATTCCGTTCTGATTATCAGGCGCGTAAATTCGAAGATATTTGAGGTAGCCTACTTGATCAATATCTACTAGGTTGAATTATAGACTTGTAGATTTGTTAGTGTTAGGTGTGGATTAAGGAAACTAGTTTACTATGAAAAATTATTCTATTTTTAGTTGAGTTATTGAGGAGTCTTTGCACTAAAAACCATCATCAGAGTCTCATGGCATTCGAATAAAAGACTCTTCAGTACTATACACTTAAGAAGTGAAATGGAATGCGTCAGTTTCACTTATGTCTCAATGTAGCCACACTATCTCTTGACCAATGAATCAGAGTCCAATAGTTCAGCAACGTGGACTGAATCGTACGTTAGCCACCCGATACTAACGGTAGTACAAGTACTATTCATGAGTTAGTTGAATATAACTAGTCACAACATCTTATTAGAATATTTGCCGTTCATTTTAAAAGTCATCAATTAATTAATACATTATTATCGTTTAGTTAAATGGTACGGTATTAATTCATTGTAAAGAGAGTTACTCAATATACTAAAATCAGATGGAAAATTTTAAAAGTTTAAGGCCTTGAGAAAAAATAGAATATTTATTCGTTAAAACCTAAAGCTATTCGTTAAATAATAGTTGATGATATCAGATGGTTTGGGATGATTCTCAGGAGACTCGGGAACTAGGTTATGTTCTAGTTCTCACTTATCATCAAGATGTACCTGAAATAGCGAGGAGATTGATGCTCTTCTATTGAGTCAGACCAAAAATACTCAGTTTCATAATATGAGACGATACTATTGGGCTCTCCGGACATCAACTGACTACTTGTCGAACTGACTGATTATTGGCTATGTTTTGTTAGGCAGCTCCATAATGATGGTTGACTTCCCCTGGTAAAGTTTGAATGTGACCATCGTTAAAATTGATAGTACCAACAAATAAATGCAGTATTTAACAACTGGAAAAACAAGAACTGTAGACTCATCTAAACTGATAAATACGTCTATTATATCCCGAAGGGATTGATGAATGGTAACTCTGAAAACTATTTATGGACCAATATGATATGTATTCATATTTGTGTCCCTCTTATGATAAGCTTTATTTTGACCTATAGACTATTATTATTATTATAAGATTTACCATTCTTGAGTTATCCTTAGTCCATTAATTACTGTTCCCCCTATTCACAGCCAAATTTGGCCAAATCTTGTACAAATGTTATTTTCTATTTTATGGTTCGATGTTGTCAGTTTGTTTGGTATATAAACCCAGTATGTTTGAGAAAAATGATTCACATTGCAGAGGCTGTTATTGGTGTTCCGGACTTAACTGGCTAGGTAGAAAGCAGGACTAATTAGTACTCAAGACTGCTCACACGGCTTTTGTGTATCATTGCTCTGATCGATAATTCACTACTCACTGATTGGCCGAAATCATCACCTCATATATAAAACAAGGCACGCACGCACTCGATATAACAACGTCTTTGCTTTCCCGAAATTCCATTCATAATCTGTCAAGCCAGTTAAGTCAGGAATGAGACAACTAGTCACTAACGATATTTAATGAATATAACACAACATTCCCAATTCAACAAGATTGAAATATGTGGACTATTATATTCCAGATTGGTGGTCCATAAGTATCAAGTTTTCGATCAAAACTGAATGTTGAGATCCAGATCATGTCTCGCGTCGTAGGAGATTACTGTTAGAAAGTTCAGAATTGGGATAGAAAAGCTGTTTATGTTTTTGACAGGTATTCATCTGGTAGTTAATGATAACCAAAACACCGCAATTAAACTTATAGTCATTTAAATAATGATAGAAACAATGACATTATTCGATATTGCAAGTTTAGTACAATATGATATTTTTGGCATTTATTATTTAAATAGGTTCCTCTACATCATCTTATGTCATAAAATGTTTGTTTACGTAATTGCTTGAAACTAGTACGTAAAATTGTATTAAGTTAAATTAATTCTTCATAATAAGATAATAACCTACACACAAATGAATAAGAAACAGGTCCTATAGTAGACGTTTCTGGTTGGATCGGCTCTTAAATTTCGGAGGAATGGTAAATGATAAGAGGTAATATACAAAACTGAAAAAGAATGAAAGTTAATCTTCAGTAGTACCAGAAACACATGGATTCTTTATATAATAATTCAAATGAAAAACTTTTATCGGTAGTCATAAAACATGTCAATAGTGAGAGAGATGGAAAGAAAAATTTTCATCAAGATTGTTGTCATTTTTATCACAGAATCTCCCACAGTACAAACTTCATGTTATTTGAACGGAGTGTTTTCTTGTATTAGACTAAAGCTAACAGTTGAAAATGTATGAGCACTATGTTAAGGTTTTATCATCATTTAGTGAACTAGAATGAGAAGAAACTGAAATACATACAGTAAGATAATTCACATTCTTTATAAAGGTGTTTTTATGAGGTACTAGATCATACAAATAGTACTGTGAAATATTTCATTTGTTAACGGTATTCCGTTTCTCAGGAGAAAGAAATAGATTACTTTCCATAAAGAGTCTCAGAGATTTTATTTTGTTCCAAATTCAGTAAAGTTAGTTTTCTATGTGATTTAATTAGACCAGAATCTTACACTTATTTGTTTTATAATTTCTAACCGTCAACAAAATGCCATCTCATATGATTTATGTTAACGAGTTATACAAAGTTACGCCTTTAAATTATTGATCTAAATTATCTGTTCTATGCTTCATAAATATTTTTTTAAAATTTAATTTTATCATGAAGATAGAACAATGTCTTATATTTTTTAAGTACTTTAATGATGGCAGTGTTCAAGCGATCATTCTCTCCGCAAAGTTCTCTATTTATTTATTGAGTTAAGAGACCGTGCCATTGACAAGATCCTAATACACTGAACCCAAGTTATAATTGAATCACCTTAAGTCTAAATTGTAGTGCTACTCTGGCTTTTATTCAACTTCGAGGATGATCGTTGAGTGCTATAAGTGGTTTACCCACTAAACCACATTATATCTATAGAAGACTTTTAAATGATATAATTTTATGATAATGGAACAATTATGCCCATTTACAACAAAGATTGAAAATTTTGTTCAATTTTTCAAATGACTGAAAATTAAGGTTTAATTTTCTTATTTTATACACTTTTTAGGCAGGCGAGACGTCCTTGTATAATAGTCCTGTGGTTACCTTATATCTGTACGATATGAAAACTATGAACTTTCAAGTAATTCCGCGACCTAAACAAATCCCTAGGTGAGGGTATTTCAATATCTATATAACTTTATATCTATTACTAACTGTATTCTATGTACACCAAGAATCTCAGCATTGATTAATCAAATATACAAGTGATTAAATAAAAATAACTTTCAATGCAGTCTCATTAAATTATACAACTATATCTGCAAACTAACAAATAGAGCATTACGTTTCCTAATATAACTCACACTTTTACAACTTCTGCAACGTTGACATTTTTTGATCATCTCATCTTTCTGTGCTGACATGGTGTACCGACTCAAACCAATCCACATGTGTCAGATTATTTGTTGTTTATAATTATTGCCCTGCTACTTATATGCATAAGTATAAAACACGATATTATGATTTTTTGCTTAAATATCACACTGAAATTAAATCATTGTGGTTTCTGCTACAAGATCGCCGAATTTTGAAATGACGTATGAATAGATCTTTGAAATCCTCAGTGTGTTTCATATTCCGAAATCTATCAAGTCTCATCAGAAAACTAATCATGTAGCACTTCATTCTCTATATGCGAGTACATTATATTATTGTATGTAAAATAAAACAACAAGGAAATTAAATCCTCCTGAACTACCATGTTGAATTATTCTGGAATAAATCAGTGATTTACGAGTTGCTATGTTTATTATATTGTGTATAGTGATGGATTACTGACAATGGCGCTCTGGATGAATGATGACATTTTTGTACATGCATGGACTAACCGTATTCAGAATCGTGGTTGGATAACCGTTTTCAGTCAATCTCTGAATCAAAGTTGGGTTGTAAGTTCATCAAAACTTTTTTATCCAAGAGTTCCTTTTTAAACACGATTTTCATTCCATCGTGAAAACTTCTTCCAGTCATCGCACGTTTTGCTCAGTTTTTCTCTCTAAGCTATAGATTATCTGCATTATATGTTAACAATATATTTGACATTCATGTAATATTTGAATATTTAGTTCAAAGAACTAGGAGATAACTATTAAGCATTTGTTTGTATTCTTTCTACTATGTTGATTTCAGTAATCATGGAATAACCTCAGCTGGGGTATTGTCGAAAACCAGAGAACATTAGATAAGTGTATTAAAAAAACCCTTAACCAGTCCCTGTTTTAAAAATACAATTATACGTCGTAAAGGCTGTTACGTGTGAAAATAAGCAGAAATAATATTCATATTAGCAATTTAAATTATTCAACAGGACACTTTCATCACTTAACATAATGCAGAATAATATGTATGTATGTATTATATGTATATATAAAGATTTGTTTATTAAGCACTAAAGACATAGATACTAGAGTAGCTAAAATATTGTTTGCTAAACTTATTACTTTTTTAATTGTATAAAAATATTTATTTGTTATCCCTGTCTCTATGCGACTCTTACACAATTGCGATGTCACTTATTTTCAGTTTTTTAAAATTGGTTACGAAACTGGATGGGTGGATTTGGTAAGTGAATTACCTTGACTATTTATTGTATTCTAGAACTAAGTATTTACTGAAATGTTATCTAGGTTTACGTTATTTGTGAAGTAAGTGAGATATCCGCCTAACAAACAAGAAACGAGTTGAGTGTGCAGTGGTTCACTTTGTCCTATTTGATATCCATGAAACTTGACCCATAAAAGTAGAGGGGATTCCTGGATTACTAGTGCCTGATTGTAGGTGTCGCTGACAAATTGCTCACGTACATTGCGAACACAAAGTAGGTAGCCGTGAGGCAAGACGCTGGCGGAACTAAGCAAATATGGAAAACTGGTTAATGGGGTTATGAAACTTTATCGGCTAGCGTAGTCAGGATATGTATTATGTATGCTCAATCACCACCTATCTTGACAAGCAACGCTAAGTGATTACTACGTAATTTGAAAGATAGCTGAAAGAAGGACGAATCAAAACATGATATCAGTCCATGATGTCATTAATAGTTGGAGTAAGGCGTCTTGGTAGACATACTCCTGTCGACGTCCAGGGATATTTTTCATCAAGCATCATTAACATTTTTTAGAGTGCTGCTACCTAAATGAGATGCATTTCATGTTTTTCGAAAAGTTATAAACCGCAATGATGTCCACACTAAAAAATTACATTGATGCCTAATCTTTTCAGATAAGACATTAACACTCTTTGGATTTTAATTGCATTTGAAGAACAATCCTATTTAATTTTGTCTTTTTCAGTTAAAGCAGACTAATGTGGAGCCTATAATTAACAAAGAAAATCAAGAAATGTTAATTATACTTCCAAGAGATTATTCAGAAAAAGGGTATAGGGGTATAGCAAAACTAAAAATTGTAAGTCGTCATGGTATTTAATACTTTAACTATTCAATCGTTTGTACAACATACATCTGAAACTATTATTGTTTATAGTTAGTTTATATTAAGTAATTGCTTGAACAAACAAAGCCACATGTAACATTATGGCGTCTCTAAAAGGGAAGCTTGATAAGTAAACTGTGCCAACAAGCCAATAAAATAGTAGATAGCAGCTCTTGGATTTTTTGCAAAAATAGAAATTCTGTGATGACAGTCTGTACCTTATAAAGATATACGTAAAAACTAGGTAAAGCTTATTGGTATTTAGTTACTAAGACCGTCAAGGTAGATAAACACGACATGGCTAACAGATAGGAATAAACTTCAGAGATCCTATCAAATGTTTTATCAAATAGATTGGTAATTATAAACGTTATTTACTCAGTATCTGTTTCCTCAAGAGGCCTGTTCTCATCCATAGTTCAAAATGCATGTTAATTTTCTCAGTGATCTTAATTCGGAAACATTATTCAAAAGTGACGAATTTTAAAGAATATCAGTGTGGCATTAAAATTAAAACAAAACGAGGCCCTCAGAAATTTCATCAAACTGCGGTAAATCCTCTACTAATAGAGCCAATCCAATTTTATTGACTGTGATACTTATATTTGAAAAATTCAGTTCATGAATAAGGATCTGTATAAACGGAATGCTACATTTTATTCTTACCACTTCAGTTACAAATGGATAACAACATATTCTGGATTTCTTGAAAAAAATTCATATCAGCAGATAAATTACACTTTAAGAATAAATCAATGTGATTTTATAGGCAGTGCATATAACTGAAAATTTCAAAGCGATTTCTGTAAATCAGCTTCAACTACCATGTGCCAGTGACAGTTACATCAAATGTTATTTCACTATTTAAATTTCTATGTGTAAAAATTTATACGGTGATATTTCATTTAAACATTTTCTAACTTCGTTACTTGTTATGAATTCAATATGATACAACATCAAATTCTACACAGTAGACAGTCAGTCTTTCGAGACTTTACAGGTATACAACGAATTTAAGCTCAATAACGAATTTCAAAAAGGGTAACCACTTCTTGAAGGAGTTTTTAACTGATGTGCAACTAAATCTTTGTATGAAGATGTCAGAAAATCGCAAATATCAAACTCAGTAACTCAGTTATGTTATAATTAAATCCACTCAGGTTGAAAATACTGTACACTTATTTATTAACTGATTAATTTATACCAAATAATGACTAGTTTAATGCATTCTAATTGGCCTACTGATATGATAAGTGAGTCATCTTTAATGAAGAGTAATTTTGAAACAGCTTTTGGACCAGTGGTGAAACCATTCGTTGGTGCACAGATAAATGTTCTTCTAAAGTCTTGTCTTTTTTACATCAATCCATATTAAACATTGTGTAGTTATACAGGGTCAAGAAGGTAGTTGTACCCTCAAGATATGTGAAGTAGTCACACCAGTATTTAATCAAGTTGCTACAAAATCAATCAGCAGTTTTACACCTCTTCTTCATTATATATGTTAGCTTTTGTCAACATATGTATAAAGCAAAGTAAAATCATCTTTTTATTTCTAGCCAATATTACCATCAGAAACTCTTCAATTACCCAATTGGATTATTACACCGAATTTTGATGTGAAGGAAATACTACATTATGATGGTAATGATGAAGTCATTTTTATTGGAACAGGACCTGACTCCAAAAACGCTCATGTTTATTGGTAAGTGGGAATATTTAATTATGGGATGCAGGCTAAGTAAATGTAAAGACAACTAAGTGCCTCTGTTGCCGTTATTAAAATGTACCAGTCATAGGATGGAATGATGAAAAACTAAGTTTTCATACACACTAACAATCAATATTAAACTGGAAACTATGTTAAAGCAAATTGAATATTTCGATCTCACGTTTTTATTTATTTGAGTTCTAATTAAGTGGTCTAAATGTATAAAGTCAGCTATTTAACGTCAAATGTCATTACTCGCTTAACATATCATACTCGACTTGTAGATAGATTTCTCATGATGTCAATTAGTTAAGCAAGTTTTGGGCAAGTCAGTCGCTCATGCTGGTATTACATGTTGTACGAGTTGTTTCACGAGCTTACAAAGCTTGGAATATTCAAACCGAAAATTCCGATATAAAGAATCATTAGTTTCTCACAATCTGTATGAATTTAACTTTATACATCCTACCTCATTCAAAATCGTGCATATAGATACTTTATGACAGTGAAGGTAGAACGAATGCTTTTCGTTCTTCAGTGGTTCTGTGTCATCATGAAAACGACCTATATAAAATCCACTTAGGGAATCGCCTTACACGTATTTAACGTAAATGCCCAGATAAAACATTGAATACTTAACCATTCTAAAGCAAACGTGGATTCTTGTAGCAAAATCCTCTTTCCCCTGTGGAAGGTATTTCTCCAAATTTTTAAGCCCCTGAATTGAGTAAACTGAGTTCATAGGCTACAATACCATTTAAAGAAAACATTAAGCTAAAAGATGATTCTGAATCCCGCGCCTCATACGTTAGTAGTTACAACGGTTTTTATTTACCATATTTCGTAGACAAGATGCTTAATAGTCATATATCTTCATAGTTGAAATCATGAGTCATTTAAAGCCAGACCACTATGGAAAACCTGGAAGCAATGGATGGCCGTTTCGTCCTATTTTGGGACTCCTCAGCAGTGCGCATTGGATGCCGGCTCAGTTGTCTATTGATTAGGCGCTCTGGCGCGAGACTGGTAGGTCGTGGATTTGAATCTCGCGAGGTGGGATCGTGGATACGCACTGATGTAGAGTCCCACAGAGGACGAAACGGCCGTCCAATGATTCCAGGTTTTCCATGGCGGTCGAGCTTCATTTGATTCATGATTTCAACTATGAAAATACTGAATTCTCCACAAAATCCCTTCTGATAATAGTCATGTATCTATTAATGAGACAATAAACAGTTTTATTATCTGCTTGAGTGTATTTACAGCACTTTATTTATTATATGACACTTTTTTCCACTTTTATGCACTTTTGAAGGACTTCACAATCCATAGGTAATATGACTTGTCTTACTTGTGAAAATGTGAATAATACATATAATTGGGCAGAAGTTCTGGCAAACGGAAAGTATTTAGTTCAAGATGTTCGAGGCTCGGGTACTCCCAAAACTTTCCTAAAAAGAATCATTAGGAATTTTACAGAAACGAATAGTAAGTTGTGTTATATGATTGTTTGATCTCTAGTTTTGTATTCTTTCTTTACCTTGCCTTAGTAACCGAACTCATGTTTTACAAAATAATGAGAGTAAAATTATTTTCATATGTATACCTTTACTTCCTACATAATCCTGTTAACTTCCATCAACTCATTCTTTTCTTTATCCATAGCCTGTAAATCAATTATTGATATGTAAGCAAACAAAGACATCTAAAACTCACAAACTACTCTCTTAGGCGAAATCTCGCGTTGTAGCTATTTCATCAATAAATATCAGATTGTACGTATGAAGGGATAGTATGATAAAAAGATAAATATTCAGCTAAGTTATTCTCGGTCGTTTGATGTTGTTAGAAAATAAGTTAAGGATATACTGATATACTTATATTTTACTAAGTTTACTGACTGAATAAAAATATGTAATATTCCTGCAACGCGTATATTATGAGATTTTGGTATTACAGATGAACTAGATAGAGATTCATATTCCTGAATTGTTGCGTTCTATTTCATTGAGCAGAAATATCTTTGTTGTTCCATTGCTCGAAATTCAGATGTCAGTAATAGCATATAATTAAATGCTGACTTTCATCATATTCTACACAAGCTCATTGATGTTATGAACTGACTACTGGAATAAGATCTATTTTAAGATGTTCGAATGATACCTCATTATGACTGTGAAACGATGTTACCAACATTTTCTTGACAAATACAGTATAGAAGAATCATTAGATGTGATTCAAATATTTTTTATTGCAGATTTTGAGTGATGTAAACATTTTTTAGAAACCGATTAAAATCAATTTCTGCCCATTTTTTACGAAACGTTTTGGACAGATTATTGTACATTTCACATACCTTCTTTCGATACTTTATTTCCAATTCTTGCCAAAGATTTCACGGTTACCACAGAAATAATCAAGTATTTTGTGACAAACAGCGCATTTGACTCCTTTGTAAACTCCCATGCACTACCACGCATTGAATACACAAAACTGAGACTACGTAATGGCACCAGAAATCAAATCGACGTTGAAGCTAAGCTTTATTTACCTCCGGAACTTGATCCAGCACATATCACACAATATCCTCTTTTATTATATGCGTAAGTTTTTATTAATTTCCATAATTTCTTTAAATGATACAACTGTTCACTTGAATCATATGCTTAACTGTAAAGTTGTATCTTCAGTTTCAGTTTGGAAAGTATACTACAAGCCGACCAAGCTTAGAATGAAGCTTCACCTGTGAATTCTCGGCCACTATTTGTTTGTTTAATTGAAAACATCTCTTCAACCGTAATATTCTCTCATAAATCTCAATAAAAGAACTGTAATCAAATTTTTACAAAAGAACTTTTATTACCAGAACTGGAAGCTGTAAAATAACAACCTGCCTGTACAGAAATAATCATGACAGTGGGAACTAGTAGAGAAATTATCGGACTAAAAGCTTATAGTAACTAATCATAACTTCACTCAATATCAGTATGCTAATATATTTTAAAAAACTTTACTTTAAGCCTGTTAGGATAATTTTTAATCCATTTTGGAATTTATGTGTAATGTATCAATTTATCATTCTAAATCATCCGATCACCCTTATTTATTTTTATAATTTTCAATTTACTAATTTAAGTTTTATTTCTGTTGCTTATGCGAAACTTCTGGATGCTTGAAATTGTAAGACCCTGTGATTTTGAACGAATAATTACTTTGTGTAGCCGACTATCGTGATTATCAGTTGGTCAACAAAACAAGAACTGATCGCAGACAACATCCTCAAAACAAAGGAATGTTATACTAAGTAGTTTAACTCATCCCAACAATTTTAATTTTTACAAAATACCTTGTGACAGAATAATTAACCGACAAACTTAAGCAATTGTAAAGTGATCTTGAGAAATTGAACGGTCATTAGGTAGTCAGAATATGGGTAGCATCAATAAATAACTTTTCACGACTAAACAAAAACTGGGTAGGGTCCTGTCTTAAATTTGACTTGTTAATCGGTAGCGTATGCTTCTGCCGAATATGTTGAAAATTTTGACTTGTCGTATTGTTCGATATATATCACGCAAACACACAAAATTTATCCAATAAATTTTTTATCACACTGTTGTACGCAACCACAAAACTAGTTTAACATTTCTGATTACGACTGTTATTATTATTATCTTTAAGTAAAGTATTTTTAGGGAAAACAGTCATTTTGAATTCTGGTAACCGTATTTGTAAATTTAGTAATATATCTATAGAATCACTATGAGTAGAAAATCGCATCTCTACATTTTATAAACATCCAACCAATGGACTATGGAACTACTTTTGGGGTGTATCAAAGTCACTTCAATATACAATTTTATAAAAAACTGTCATGACTTGAATGTGAAAATTGGAATTAATCATTGGAGATGTATTACAGCAATTATGATGATGTATGATAATAATGATGTATCATTCTATGTGAGTATAGCTATTTAGACATGTTTAGGTTTTATCTATTGTTTTCTGGTAAATGGACATGATCTATCAGCTGTAATGTCATTCAACCATTAAATCAGCACAGCTATAATTGAAAATAACTTTGTTCATATATTCACAAGAAATATTACGTAAACAAACTAAAGCGCTTGTGATAACATAAATATTCCATGTTATTTGATTATTTATTTGACATTTCTACCAGAACATGTGCGTGCCTCGGAAATGTTAATGATACATCTGTCATCATAAAATGATGTTCACAAAAACAATTTCCGAAATTAATTATTTATTGATGATTTCTGTCGCTCATTATGGTTGAGTTCCAATAGACATAGCTTTTCACCAGAACTTCTAAAATCACATCTGGACTACTGAGCCGGCATCCAACGGTGTTAATGTCTAACTTCAACCAATCCACGAAGTTCAGCAACCATTTCACCAATGTCTTCAGTGAGTTGATATCTCCTAAAACAGACCTGGTTTAACTCCACTGGTTACTTCTTCTCACAAGAACTCCAGGAAATACCTCATGAAGCCAGTCACTAGTGGGTTGTTTGTGGAGAATTTTTTAGTAATTTTTATATATAGATGAAATCATGAGTCATTTGAAGCTAGACCACCATTGAAAACCGGGAAGCACTGGACGGCCGTTTTCAGGTTTACCATGGTGGTTTAGCTTCAATTGACTCATGATCTCAACTATATAAAATTACTAAAATCTCCACAAAACTTCCTTCTGAAAAATTAGAAAGCTTGTTATATATAGAAAATTAATTTACTGGAATGTCATCTATCTTTTCCAGCATAGAGTAGGTCAAAAACAGTAAATTCCTTCCAAACTCCATTTAAATGCTATACACATACATTGCCGAAAGTCTAAAACTTTTGGCCTTGGTTAGCGAATAATCCCCACATATATGTGTGTACGCGAAATAGCTTCTATTTATATGTGATTGACAAATCATGCAGCAGGCAGAGATGGGTTTATTTCTTAGCCTTAAATAATTCCATGACTTCTATACTTTTAAACGCATGTAAAAACATATTTTCATATTCAGAAAATCTTAATCAAATAAATTGCCTTTTAAATAATAAATAGTTATGGTGGACCAACATTTCAAGTCGTAACCTCAGCTTTCACAATTGACTGGTTAACATACATATCAGCAACTGCAAAAGTTATTGTTGCTCAAGTTGACGGCCGAGGTACAGGTGGTCGTGGAAGATTATATGAACAGTCAATCTATAAAAATCTAGGTGTGATTGAAATTGAGGATCAGCTGGACAGTGTCAAGTAAGATTGATGTAATATGATGAAATGCATGACTATTGTTCTTAATAAATATTGACATGAGTACAATTTAAAAATGTATATCATCAAACTGGAGTTTTCTTGTATATCACAATGAGTATCCTCTTGATAATTTGACATAGCAAGCGCTAAAACGGGACATTCACCTTTACCTATGAAGCGAATGATCATCATATTGTCTCACAATATCAAAATAAACAAAGTATACCAACAAGTCCCTTTAAGTATTTTAGCATTTCATTTTAATCACCAAGATTTACCAGACATTAAAAATTAATGCATAGGATTTTGTCCCGTTAAAGAAAATAGTCAAGAAATTTGTGAACTTTAAAATAATTACAGAATGTTTATTTAACATTTGTACACCATAGTTCATGGCACCAAGCTGAATATATTATTTGCATATCTTAACATCCAATTTAATAGATAGAAGTGAGTATATTTGGAGATGGAGTTAAATGATCGAGGAAAAACTCCTAATAAATTGACTGATTTCTGATGTGGTTAATAGTAGCTATAAAATAAAATCTTCTGTTGCAGCTTGTTTCACTCATCTCTAGGGATTTATAAACTTCACACACTTCCCTTGTATTCTAGCTTGGATTTAAATGAATATTTGTTTTTTAAACTACTAAAAGTGTGCTCATATCTGAATATTTTATGCATCCTTGTTATGGTTCAGAGCTTTAATTCGACGTTACCACTATATAAACGAAAGTCAAGTTGGTGCTTATGGTTGGGTAAGTGATTTGATGAGCATTAATTTAAATAAATCATTAAAAAATTGATTTTTATGTTTTAAGGTTTGTTTATGGAATGAGCTGTATAGTTTTAATATGGTAAGCGATTCAATGGATTCGGTTATCAGTTGTTATCCAAATGACAGAACTCGTCATAATGTATCCATTACAGTATTAATATGTCTATACTTGAAACCGATAGACATACAGCGCACTGATATATACTGTAGTAGAATCCCAATTCGTCAGTCATGTTCAGATATTGGTATTATTTAGATGAGCTGAATGTTTAGATAACGTGATAAGAAAACAAATTGAAAATGTAAGATGTTCAACAACGTATAATATTGATTTTAGCATATATAGATATTCATAATAATTAACTGCGTTTTCTTAAATCTTCATGAAGTCACTGGCAAATTAAAAATATGCTATAATATTCCTAACATTCATGAAATGAAAATGCGAAATATGACATTTAATAGCTTTCATTAATTTGGATAGCGTAATATGAAGACGAAAATTTTCAAAACTTCGATGTATTAGCCCAATACCGATCACACATATTTGTGATATATATATATATATATATATATATATATATATATATATATATATATAAGTTTATCACCTACTCTTATTGGGCCTTTTTATTTTCTTTGTTTTTGTAACCATTTCGGTACATTTTCAAACACCATAATTTGTAGATCATCTTCTTATTGCACTATCCAAACAGTTTAGAGTTTTGGAAAATATATCAGTCACTTGGGGAAATTTTTCTTCAAAATATTTATGTAGATAGATACTATTAAACTTTCACATAGTAAATTATTAACCGCGATTAATATACAACATTCAAAAGGTGAAGGTAAATAAGGTATGTATCAAGTTGCTAAAACAGTGCGTCTTACATAGACGTTTATCGTCAATTAAGTATAACTTAGTAAACGATCTGTGCACAATATGAAGCATTCTTATTTCTTGTTTAATCATAATAAATATTTCCACTGTATATATTTGTTTTTTTAATTAATTATATTTCTTTCTGTTAAAATTAAAGTCTTACGGTGGATTCACAGTTAGCCATTTACTTACCAGACCTGAAAATCAATGGATTCGGTGTGGAATTTCTGTCGCTCCAGTCAGTGATTTTAGATATTACAGTAAGTATGAAAAATAATATTAGGTAATTCATTCAGAGTTTATTTATTAACAAATCCAACTTAACCAGTTGTACTGATGACCAAACTAGACAAGTGAACAAACTTGGTAAAAAGTTGGAATAGTTGTTTGCTGGAACATATATAGATATTCGTGATAATTCTGGATTAAATATTTGATTTTATTGAATATGTATTTATTTTTGTTGCCCAAAGTCATGAGGCATTCTTTTATGGACTCTTCTCATTTCTCTCAGAACTGTAAAAAATTTCTTATAGTAATTTGAACAATAAACGTTTATCGATTGACTAAGCAAATGTAACCGAAAGTTATTTCGAAAGTGGATGAGATATTGACTACGTTATATTCTGACCAAGAATTATTTTACGTGTACTCTAAGATTGCTTCGAAAATTTAGCAGACGTAAAATATTAAAAATCTATTCGACAAATCATAACTATTTGCAAATGTAAGAACAGTTGTAAGATGATCATGTAGTGACTGTCGCTGCGGCAAATTAATAAAAATGGAAATAAAATAGCAAACTATTATTTGGCTGTTGAGTTTCGAACGGTGTCATTGAAAGACATCAAAGATGTGCATTAACCTTGTATAGGCTCCCTACTAGAATATTGATGGTCTACTCAGAGCTTATGACTAAATGTCATTAGAATCGACTACGTTAAGTGGTGATAGTCAGTGTTATTTTGTTTTTCCCATTTTCTTTTGACTTTGTCATAGAAACCCTTTAAAAGTTAACGGCTCTGTCTCCAACTTTTCGGGTTTGATTCATCTTCTGACTTATAATATAGTTCCGAAAAATGCAGTTTTCCGACCGCCTTCAGTGACAAGCACGTATATTTGGCATTCGATTCTCTCCCTTCAAACGGGAATGGTTTCTTCATCTGAATTAATGATAGAGGGTATAGTGGTTGAAAGTATAGACTATTTGGCTTATTTAAGGCGTATTATCAGTCCCAATTATCTGGTGTGTGACAAAAGCTTATCAACGATTCAGAAAGCTTGATTAACTATTACCAGCTTCCATTAACTGTGGCACCGATGAGATATCCGTTTGTCAACCAAATGACGTTTGTTGTGCAGCAGTTTGTTCATTTACACTTTATAGAAGTAAAACATGGTTATTGGGGGACAGAAGATATTCGTACGTTTCTAGTATTCGAGGCACTGCTCGTGTATTTCCGGACCACCGAGTAATCAATTACTGGGTTGGGAACAGAGTACCAGATAAAGATGGGAAATCGATCGATATAGCAGTAAATCTTCATCAACTGAGGTTGTCGGGACATGTGTTACGCATGCCTAACCGCCAACTACCTCGATGGGAGATGTTGTCTGATATAGGAGTAGACTGAAAGAAAGCTAGAAGCGACCAAACCAAAATATGGACTCATTCCTTGAAGTCGTCAACAATTGGACTGAAACATGTTATTAGGTGTTAACTATCATCTGGTTGGGGTCCGCGTGTTTATATTAACCAATCGTTAGCAAATTTGAATGACATAGCTCAAAAATGTTTGCGATGGCCCAGGTACATGCATTCATTGTCTCCCTCAAATAATGAGCTCCTGAATTCCCCATATTTTTTGATATTTCACTAATTTATATTTTCCTGAACTGTATCTTCAATGCCAATTCTTTTCATCACTACTCATACTGTCACTACCTCTAATATTCTGGGATTTGCCCCAGCGATTTCATATCTCTATGCTAATATGGTATGATAACTGAAACCGATGTACATACGCATTAGGTTCAACGTTGTGGCTGACTGAATAATTTCAAGTTTCAGTAAACCAAGAAACACATTAACGTTTCTCAAGATTAATAATAAATATTAGAATGTATATTTACGGTATTCATAAAAGTGTTTTTAAAATGTAATCGACCATTTGGGCTATAATTTCGTTAAAGGGCATTTTAAAATGCAAACGAGTTCTTTGTGAAAGTAAACCTATCAATGCCTATTGTTAATGACAATTATCGTAATATATGTCAATTTATATTCGTCGGTTTCACAAGATTTCTTTATACTCATTTATACTTGCATTATTTATTCGTTTAGCTACCGCATATTCTGAACGATATTTAGGAAGATTTATAGATGACCCAGACGCATATTCTGTAAGTCACTTGACTTTTTAATTTTATTATGCACATTGCCTATTTAAATTGAATTATGTGTATTTATTTATTTTCCATCAGCTATTGTCTTAATTACTCGCTAGTATGAATAAGAAAGATACGTCAGGATTTCCCAAAATGACCAGAAACTCTTACAGTATAGTATTGCCGATGACATACATTTAAGCGCAGTACTGAGTATTTCATTCCCGTCACCATAGTCAGTTATCCATAGTTCTTGGATGAATATCAGGTTTTCAGGTGAGGAAGGTCTATGAAGACAGCATAGTGATAATAATAATAAATCAAATCTATCAGCTAATCTCGAAGTTGTTATGGACTAAGCTGACTGGGTACTTTGTTTACTATAAGTTATCAGAAAGGCTTATTTGTTATTTCGATGAAATTCATGTTTTCTTGGGCTACAATAACAATACACTTGTAATTTAAATGAAGGTAATAACAGTTTAGGTATTTTTATGGCTGATTTTGTATACAGAGGTAACTGAAAGTGCGGTCTAAATATTTAATATGGTAGTCTTTGTAATTTCCGCTATTTTTTCAACCGTAGTTCTGTTTGTATTTTACTGTCCATATCTTTGTCAGACACATTGATCTTGATATAATTCAGTTTTGACTAACCATTTCTTTAGGCAATAAGTAAATGGTAAATGATTCTCTACTTAGATTTGATATATCAGCAGAATTTAGTCAATACTGGTGGTATTTGATCGGAAAATTGGTACTAATTTCTAGTTAAGTATTCAGCATATAGGTTAAATGATAGAAATTGACCAATTTATGGTCTTCATCTTTAAGTCAATTAACTAGTTGGTATTTTCCATCATCTTGTGTTCGGAATATAGTTAACTTAAATGAAACATTAACATACCCTATAAACTCGTTGTTCAGAAGTTCACGTTGTTTTGCTAAAGTAGCGAAATTGCGATCACCGGCTTTCCAGGTCTGTTTATACCGGAAGCTCTCCTGTATTTCAAAATAATACCCCACCATTAAAGTTGACAAGTCTACCATGTTTTAGTAGACCATAGGTATTTTAATTACGGTGAAAGCTCCGAAAATTACTTTACGTATCAAATGTAGACGATATTAGTTTGAATAGTAACTGCTTCAAAACTACGCGATCACGTAGTTGCGTTTACAATAACAAACATCAACGCTTACATCATATATCCAAATTATTAACTTATTTATTAAACCGCATCCAACATTCATCAAAAATATCGGTCATTAAACACCTATAATTTACATAGCCCTTCTGGCTCCAGGAATTACTCAGAGTTTTTGCCAAAGATTTTATTGACATCATAAGAATTGTTTGATTATTTCCCAATAATTAAACAAAGTTTGGGTACAAGTGTATTCTAATTACAAATGAACTGATAAACTAAATCGGATATCAAACTAGATGAGATTTAATTTAATATACTTCATATGTTTCCTTGGTTATTTCTTTCTGTATATTTCTCCATAAAAGCGTAGCTTTTTCAATTTTCACTCTTTCAGCGCACGGCTATTAGAAATTCTAAGAACATGGCTTCCAAAGGATTTTTATTAGTTCACGGAACTGCCGATGGTAAGCATTTCTAGATGTATATTCTATTCTCGATTTGTTATTTAATGTCTTTGCTTATTTAATGTGCACGTCTGTGTGGTAGTACATTTGTTACAAAGAGCACATAAAAACAAGGATGGTAGTAGGTGTTAATTCTTATAAATGTGATTAGAAGCTTGGTGTCATGCCAAACAAAAATTGATTTTCTGCAGTTACATGTATACTTAGATTTAAAAATGTAAAAAGTATTTACAAAGGTAAATTCTGTAAACTTTAATACGAATGTATTTATCTATCTGTGACTATGGATATTTAAATAGAGTTTGTAGTCTAGCTGTCATTTCAATTTTCCATTATGCCATTGAAGTTCAGTAGAAGCGTTGATACACCTTTTGTTACTAAAGTTTTACATAGTCAACGTTACTCCACACCACCCGTCAACATTTTCTACATCTTGATCGACTGTGATTTTAAACATTTATTACTTCAAACTGACCTACTTAACCTTTTTGAATATTAAATTCATTACTAATCTTTTCAAGCATCTACGTAATATTCACTTAGCTGCTGAGTTCAAACAGTCAACAACATTTCAGACCATGCGAATGTTGTTGTGTGGTTTCATGACATCACAATTTTTGATATTTAAGACTATCAATGATCATTATTATAGAGACCCAAGTGATAGATCCAAGCCTAGATTTCCATTTAAAAAATTACCCTGAAATTTGATGGTATGTGAGGAATAAATAGCATTAAGTGTAAACCATGAAACTCATTTTCAGCACTGCTCACTCTGCTGATCATGAATAGCTTATCACTAAAGTCGGGGAGAATAAAGCGACTAAACCTGAAGGTAATATGGAGCCATGCACTCAGGAAGATCATAGAAAATGCGAAAATGCCGTCCTGAATAAAAACAATGTCATAATACAAACCCTTACCAGTAAATACACTTTCATGGCTGAAAATTTACCTTTCCCATATGAACCATCTAAAAGAATTTTCTCAATTCCTTCAACATAAGTAGTCAATCACTAGCATATAGATAGCTCCTATGAATGTGTCAGTAAGTGATTAGGGTTCAAATCTCACGAAAAACATCCGTTTGCTCATGATTTTAGATATGCCTCTCTGACGTGTATCAAATTATCTCAGTTTAAACGCCATACGTCTAACCATTGGAAGTCAGGTTAAATTGCATTTAAGGTTGGTTTGCCTAAACTAATGACAATATAGTAACTTGATTGATAGGATTCGTTTAGGACAAAGAAGTACTCAAATACTATAAAAAATTAAATGTTAATGATTTTTGGAAGTCATTAAATTTCATGGTTTCTGATTCATGACCAGTGTACTTTAACTATGTTTGATGAGAGACAGTTACTCAAAGTTGACAACGAAAGATTGTTGCATAATATTACGAATTGGCTGAAGCTAAATATGTAAATTATCGGATGATCTAAAGATTAGGGGTTCGCTGAGAGACCTGAATATCTTTGTTATGATCCGCGGTTCCCGAACAAGGAATCCCATACTGTTGCGAAACAGCTATCCAATACTTACTGTTATTCAATCGTTGTCTAAATAAAGTCAATCTCTGATGTAAACTGTAGAACTGCAATAATTACTATTGAATAATCAATGTATATATTTAGTTTGAAAATTTTTAAACATATTTCTGAAGTAACTAAAATTCTTTAATAAACTTGAGTTACGTATAGTGTAGCTTTTGCTTATATTCTTATATATATATATATATATATATATATATTCTCTTCGTTATTTTGTATGTTTATAATAGATAATGTCCATCTTGTCAATTCTGCTAAGCTGATCAAAGAGTTGGTAGCTGCGGGTGTAGATCTTGATTTAATGGTGAGCAATCCTATATAATTGAACATATTCGTTTCCACTTTCATTCTTCTGTATAGTATATCATTTAAATGTAACTGATAGGTTGAATAAAAACGAATAAAGCTAACAAAATAAAGCTAATGAGGACGGAAAAATGTAGATGAGAGAAAAGGCTTATTGGTTTTGACACTAGTGTGTATAAGGTGTTTGAAGTCATGGATTTTATCCTCTCACTAGATAATGTAAGTGTTTGTTTACTTATGAATTATATGTGATGTGGTGAAGCATCAAACAGTAATTTTTTACTTCAATGGTATTTTTGGGTTATAGGGTATGCTGACTAATATTTTAATTCTTGTAGATTCTTTATCTATATGATACAATGTTAATTTGAATATCCTTTTTATAGTTTCTGTTTAGCAAATTTTCTATAATACTGATTTTATTCAATAATGGTTTTGTTTATTTTTACTTAGATTTATCCAGATGATGATCATTTTCTATCACATGGTAGAAATCTAGAAAGTTTATATCGTAAAATGACCATATTTCTGCTTGATTGTTATAATAAAACATCAGTAAAGTATTCAATGGATTTATCAGTTAAAGATCTTTGAGAATCGAAAGAGAAAACAAATGAATTTAATGCGAAGAAACAAACGGTTGGATAGATATGCACTCATCAAAACAACATAACTAAATCTTTTTAAAAAAATATAAGATCGCTTATTGTTATTTTTTATTGCATTACCAAATAAATCATATGTTAACATAGAAAATCTTGAGTCTTAGTAATAGCAATAATCATTTTACAATGATAATCCTTGAAAGTCGAATATGAAATATGTAAATAAAATATTAATTCAATGAAAGTTGTATAATTCCCATTTTTTGAGTGTTCTTCAAAATGTTTGCCCTTCTTTTCCTATTACTTCAAATCAACTAGTTAAATTCAAGTGCTTTTCATTTGTTCAACAATGTTTTGTGATAAAGTTCATCTAGAAGGATTACTAATAATTACTAATAAATTGACTCTATTATTTCATGTAACCCGTATATAATAGTTTATACCTGTTTTTGTATTTTAATTTTCTACTCTTTCAACATTTAATTATTGTCTCTGATTTTCTTTAATACTTTTGTTTATGCCAATTACCATTAATATCTTTTTAGAATACTGAGATAAAGTAACATTTTCATGTTTACTTTCGCTCATTCTTTCAAAAGATTATCATTCTCTCAAAAATGATCTTGTTCTAATCGGTAATTTTTCGTTTGAAAATGATCGGTGCGGCATGACTTTCAAAGGTATTGTGTACGTAATTATAGTATATTTGTAATAAATAAACATGCGCACATAAAATGAATAAATAAACGCATCTGTCAGCTTAAATCTTAAATGAAAGCCACACATTCATTAACATTGATAAAGCTATTGTTAGCTACAACAATGATGTCATTTGGTCTCATAAAAAAGGCATGGATAATATTAAATAGATTAAATTAATTTTCATATCATTCAGAATATGATTATTGATATCGCTTAAAACAACTGTATTTATTATTACTACAAAAACTTTGACACAAGAATTTGTTGATAATATTATAACAATTACTTACCTACATAGAAACCAATGTACATCAGTGAAAATGTTACTTGAAAAACACTAGTACAATTGTCAGCATTACGTCACGCTTTTATTCCTAACCGTGTTTTATTGCCTGATAGAACCATTTATCAAGCAAATTTCACTATAAACCAATGTTCGATAAACATTCATCATAAATCAGGTTGGTATCTGAACATCTCAGGTAACGTTTGTGTGTGATCAAATACGCACACTTCTAGTGAGTAATATATTTAGATCGAATAGTTGTTGAATACTTTCTGGTTTTGTCCAGCTGACATTACCATAAACTGGAGGAAATTTCATTTAAAATGTATAAAGATTCTGTATTCAATTATCCTACTAAATAGTTAACCATTCATATGAACATTCTGAAAAAAATCTTATATTTTCATACTGAAATTTCAACTTCGACTATTAGCTTTAGTGATTCAGTTGTTCGCTCCCCTTAATTTTTCAAACCTGTATTGTATTTATTTCAGAACGAAAGTAAAAATAGATTTCTAATATACTAATAGTTAGGAAATCAAATTCCTAGCGTTTTTCTACATGGTGTACGCCAGTTCTTCAGAAAGCAAATAAACAAACGAAATAAATCAGCTTAATTTCAAATAACACAAACGAGCTATGTAAAATTAATTACTTCAGTCAAAAACAAGTCTGGAAAATAACTAAATTGTTATATATTTATTATGTATTTCTTTTGCTCTTGTTTATCCACGTTTGATGTAATATTCTCGGTGGGTTTTCTGGGTAAATTTAAACCTAGAAAAGTTTTGCACTGAATGAATGTGATGAATTGAAGTTAATATTATCGATTAGTATGTGTCCATTCACAAACGTTGGTTAAAATTAGCGTTCTCTTTGGATTACTTTTAACCCAACAATCTAAAAACGACAACTAACCTTATTCATTTTCACTTTAAAAAGTACATTTAATATGAACTAAGAATATGTCAATAAATTTAGAAAAACGTTTTTAAGAACGTCTTTTTGATGATAACAAAAGTGTTACCCGACTATCACAACAGAATTTGTGGTCTGGTGTCATTGCAGGAAATATTTGACTCGATGATATGAAATAGGTTGATTTTAATTGAAGACAAGCAGAATTTCATCCCAAGTATAATTGCTTGTTTATATAACAAGTTCAAGCATAGTCCTACGGATTTCGTAATTTAAATGATCACTAATAGACATCTTTATAACTTGTGATCATTCCTTAGCGACCCATAAATAAACCTTAGACCCCCGTCAACTGGAATAGTATTGTATACATTTACATCATCACAACTTACCATTGTTTCATTCTCTTCGTTAGATGATTCCCATATTTCGGATTTGAAGTCATAGAAGTTATAATCATATTATGTAAGTTATGTTGTTTTGGCTACAATATACTGACCAGTTATTTGGACAATGAATTAGTGAGCGCGTTTGTGAAGCTCATTATAAAACTTAGTGGGATATAAGTTTTATAAATTTCCGGTAAACTGTGGTAAGGTTATGTGGTGCATGACTTGGGATTGACATAAACATAGGGAGACACCGATGAATAGCTTGATTCCTTAAATAGTTTACCTACAGCTAATTTTGTTTTAAACCGTCTACATATTTCGGGCGTCAAACTTATTATGCAGTCTTGTGGATAGGTGTCCTGAAGCTTTTTCATCATAACCCATTTTATTCACGACTGCTGTTGTATAACTTTTGTCAGTACTGACTATTCAAATTCTTACGTCTTTTTATAGTGAATGTAGAGATCTCAATTCTTCTTGAACGGTACTATGTTGAAGGAGTTTTGTTTTGTCGAAATATGGGATCTTTTCAACTTTATATATATAACTGTTTTTTTCCAATAGATGTTCGACTAATTATTCTAGAATCGGAACAATTTCTATTGTCCTTACTCTAATAATAGTGATATCATGGGTACTTGGGTTTTTGTCTTAGAGTTCATCAATAACTCTCACATAGCCAAGACTTAATATTATTGTTGGAGTTCTATTTCTGTTTTTAAATCGTCTAGTATTTCATTGTCAACGACGAATCCAAATAATGGTGTTCGCTTCCGATAAAAATGCAAATAGCAGTTGGTGGTTTGATAGGAATTATAAAACTTATTAGATCATCCAGGTTTTCGAATAGTCAGTTGTACTTTTTTCAGTAAATAGTTCATTTAATTTGATTTTCAACTCATTTGGATGTTACAATTAAATCATTCATTTGATTATTAACAATCTACCCAGTGTTCAGTATATTTGTAATTATCAAGTCAAACTTCGGTAATTGTTTAGCAATAGGGTTTGATTGTGAATTTCATTTAAGGGATGGGCATGCGAAAGTTAGGCAGATAACATATATTCAAAGTATTAAATATCTGACTTGTTAAAAATCGCCTTATTTTACTATTTACACGACCAAGAAAATCCATACTTATTTCGGAATAAGTTATTTATGCCTATTTAACCTGGAACACAGCCAGATTTTAGAAAATGAAGTCTATAATCGTTTTGGTTTACATTTTTAATAATATTGAAAACTATAATGCAAAATGAATGTTTGGTGAAAGAACTAATTTTATCTATAGAAGATGAGGAGAACTTATCTACGTCCTGTTGAGTATGGGAGATTTTCTTTTCACTGTAAACAAACCTATACCTTCTTTTGTTTAGTTACTTTATTTAAATGCAACAGATATATCTTATAAATAAAGTGTGTTCTTTTGAATTCTCCTATCGTTATCAACTTCATAATACCTAAATAAATAATACCACATAAGATACAACATATTCTGTCTACAAAATTTGAATATACTCTTTACAGTTTATATTCACTGGGTTCCACAACTCCGGAAAAATTCAACTCATTATCAAATTCTTACAGCAACATCATTTCATACTCATTTAGCATTCAATATTTTCTACATTTTGGCTATCTGTTTCTGACCATCCTTTATTTTGTGAAACGTTTAAGAGGTAATTAACTGTTATATGTACTACTCGAAAACTCTACTGAATATTACTCTTCAAATAGCTGATATTGGAATATGTTGAGTACTTTTTACGCTCTTTAGTTAACTTAGATATTTTTTTAAAATTAAGTGAATCCCTCTCTTTACAGCATGAACTTTCATGACTGACCGAATAATCAAAACTGATAAACCTTTACATAGCAATGAAATAAGAAAGAAAAATATAGCATCTAACTTATCACCTGACTGATCTGGTGATAATACATAAATCATTTTCTCTGAAGTCGTACACTGGCCAACCTCTCTCTAAACTTTATCTGAACGTATTTATCAAAAAGAGTGTTTCCTTAAAAATTCAAGAATTACACTGTATTTGAAAAATATTTTGAAGGATTGGTAGTGTACATTGTAATATGATAAGTATTAATTTCTAGAGTTATTCATTGCGTACTCTGATAACTGCGGACGAATTAGGATCAAAGACAGCCTATTTTATTGTAATCAAGAATGCTCAATTGTATATTTATAAAACAATTAACATTTTACGCAAACACCATGGACTTTTCAGACTAAGGTTCACAGTTTTACTTAATATATTTTATTATATGTTTGAGCTACTTGTAAGTAGATGAATTACTCTTACTATAACACATTTGTAAGTAACTCAACTTGTTCAATTTTTTTTACCTGAGCAGTTTGATGAAATATATAGCTTCATGCATAACTCACAGTAAAATCCCTAGTTGTCATGTTGCCAACAAGTTGTGTAGATGTTGAACAAATTTATCTGGTCAAGAAACTAGCTTATTTATAGTGTAGTTGAAATTTCGCAGTACGACTACATATGTTATATGAATTGTGAAGCGATGGGAATTTTTTGTTTCTGCCAACCTTCTCTTCCTTCTTACTGATCAACTTTCTTTTGAGCAAATTCATTTTCTTAGTTGAGAGCCAAACTTTATGAACACGTTTATGCACTGACTGAAATTTATCTCCTCCAATTACACTACATTTATGTCATTACTTACGTTTTTGTAAATGTGTTTGAATCACGCGATTTTTTATTCTATGGAATAATCGACAGAAATTCTTCAATTTGTAAAGAATATGTAATGAATCCATCAAATAAACGAGTCTTAACTAAAAAGCTACATTTGTATTCTTCGATTTATTGACGAAAGAACTAAATTAAAATAAATCTTAAGCTTACCAACAGCATAACTTATTTCATTTGAGTTATGCGGAACTTTTATGCAATCGCTTATCTATATTTAGGATCAGAGTAGTGAGCATTACAAATTCAACAAACGAAATCAATTAGTTAACCAATAAGACGATGTACTTTGCTGTCAAAAAATCTAGTCAACATGATAATAATACTCTTCTGTTTATTAGGTAAATAAAAACAATTTAGTAGGGATATATTTTTAATACGTATTTTCTAGAAGAGTTGAGTAATCTGGTTAGTACTCAATCATCCAGAACTGTGTTCCGGTTAGCAGAAAGGAGTCGGTTGTATTATTCGTCAAGTAAATCGCACGGATTCGAATTCTGTGTTTTAAATGAGGAATTAACGGTTCTAAGAAAAACATTTTAAAATGGCTTTCCGTCAAAATTCATCTATACGAATATAAAACTTCAATTTTTAAAAGAATCGATAATGTTTGTGCTGAAAATGCTCACTGCTTAAAAGTCGAACTCAAACCTAACATAGTTGCAAACAACTTAAATAGGAGGACTTCAAACTGTCAAAAATCTCTCTTTAGATCATATCTAACCGTATCGTTCTGTAGTCTGTTTGGGGTTGAACGATAATCTAAAAGATGGGCTCTTTCATCTAACTATTTAAATGTGTATTTATCGATGCGCTTATCCCTATTGAACTTGTTATACCACTTGTTAGATATAAGTTCTATCCTATATTGTTTATGAATACGGAAGAAAATAAGTGACTAACTGATTATTTTATGTAGTGTTGGTTGTAATCTTTACTTATGTGCTAAAGTTAGATAACTTCTAACTTGATAAAATTAGCATGAAACTGTATGAATTTAGTAGAACTTGTGAACACAGTATTGTTAGATTGAGACTCTATCAAGTCAGTGTTTAGTATAAATGAAAATAATTAGTAAAGAAGTAAGTTGGTTTATAGCACATGAAAATATTCAGCAAATTAGTTAAATTCAGTGATGTAAATGTCCACAATTTTAACATATGGCATTACATAATTTACTCATTCAAGCTATGCTTTATTTTAGCGATAGTTTATTTATGGATTTATAACTTTTTAGTCAAACTCATTTCTCACCTTGTTAAATTTCAATTAGAGAAGCTACATCAATTCTTTTCTTTAGCCGTTTATTTTATCTTTATAAATTTCTTAGAATAGTTTTTTCGTATCAAATAAACGCATTTTTGTAAAACAATAACAAATTTCGTAACACTTCTACCTTAGGTTATCTCTTCATGATACTGAAGAAACTGATACTCGAATACTGTTCAAAGTTCTCACAACTATGATACTTTTAATGAATCAGGAATATAGGCAACAATCATACCATAAAATAAATGATTTACTTTGATTATTATCAGCTGTAATCTTTTATTTTAAATTACATGTATGATAATGGTCATGATTATTTATGATAGTGTCAGGAAACTAATAAAATGATGTAAATTTAAGGATTTGTGGCAGGCATTTCTCTATGGTTTTCAATTGAAACCTTCTATTATAATAAAAATTAAAGATATACATAGATATAAATATATTTCAACCGAATCACATGCAATTGTCTGTTATCAGTTTATGATAACTGTTAGTTGAACAAAGTAAAAGAAACAAAGTAAAGAAAATTCACCGATCCATCATTTCTACAAGGAAACGGAAACAAAAGAAAGTAATGAAACAAGTTCAATTAACATTAACTTTTCTGACAGATTTTAACTTCAATTAATAGTAGCATGAACTCAAAACATTTTTTGAAAACTTTTGGCTACTTAATTTTATATCAGTAACACATATTCTCAAGCTTAGAAACTAAAATCCACTAGTTCCATTTTATCAGTAGATCAATTATCAAGTGTTATAGGAAACCTACTTTTGGTTTGAGTATACATTCTCGAGAAAATAGCAATTTTCAAACACAGCATCCTTGATTTTAGCCACTTTTCAAGTTCGTACAAATACATAAGTTATTTCATAATCACTAAGGAATATATTACGACATAATTAATGGTAAAATTATTATTATTAGTTTTGATTATGTAATCTATTCCACTGTTATCATTGACTTATAAACTGCCTTGATTGGTTTAATAATTTCGTATATGCATATAAATATTACTGTGTATTAGAGTAAAGCCTGATGAGGATCTAATCGAAAACAATATTGTTCGCTTATATATGTTGTTCTAAATCACAATATGGGAATTTTTCAAATAATGTTAAAATGTAATGGTGATTTCCATATGAATAAAACAGTTCGGATTTAAAATTGATGTAATGTAAATAAACCTAGCTGTACTTTAGTTTGTAATAACATTCCCATTTAGTTTCTTATTCAATTTTTCCGAAACATATGTTTCTGATTCAAGAAACCTTCATTTCATTAAAGCGTTTGCAAGCTACCTGATTATACATAAATTC